GATCCTAGACACTAAACCCTACACCCGAAACCCCAAACCCTAAACCGTTTTCTTGGGTTGGTATGTGCGTGGTACTTAGTCATCGAGAGCGCAGACCGCTGTCCTATTTCCCAACCCTGCAATAATCAACCTTCAGGAGCAAAACCATAGATTTAGGGTTCAGGGTTGAGGGGCTTAGTGTTTAGGGTTTAGGTCAGATTCGTACTGTATTCATACTCCGGGGGATCTGTTGCATGCTCTCCGTACTAGGGAGCCCTGTTCGGGATACAGATTCTGGGAGTCGAGGCTTGCCGTTGTTGGCGCTTGAACGTTGTGCTTGCCGTCGGTTTGAGGGTTTAGGGTTTAGAGTTTAGGGTGTGAGGGTTCAGGGTGTAGAGTTTAAGTTGGAGGAACACACTTTGTACGACGATTGGTGCGACGATTCAGTCCGAACTCTACTGCAGCTTAGACAGCAGGCGCGGACCATCGGCCGCAAGGTGCAGATAGCTGAGTTGCTCACTGTATGCGAAGTGAAGCATTACGAGCTTAACCCTGCACATCATAAGTATAAGGGCAGGATAGTGTTCAGGGGTGACCTCGTGCGCGACGCCACTGGCGCACCAGTGTTTTTCGACACTGACAGCCACTGGACTTACCGGCCTCGCCACTGCCCTGCACTACGGCCCGAGCACTGCACATCGTGCAGTGACGCGATACAGGCGTACTTGCAGGCGCCTGTAGGCCAAGAAACACGGGTCATCATTCCATTCGAGTTGGTCTTGTCATCGGTTACTGGTTGTCGCACCCACGGGGTAGACTATGAGAGATTCCCAGTGCAGTCCGCCCTATAAAGACTAAGCTGAAAATTTCGGCCCCACATACGCCAAATCCAAGACCCTCGACCTACATCCTCAACCCTGTGCCCAAAATTTGAACCCTACACCCTCAACCCTGGACCCTCTTTTCCCTAGGCCTTATAGGCCTAAGAGGCCCTTTAGGCCCTATAACCCCAAGACCCCTAAGCCCTAAACTCTAAACCCTAAACCTCAAACCTTAAACCTTAAACCTTAAACCTTAAACCCTAAACCCTAAACCCTAAACCCTAAACCCGAAACCCTAAACCCGAAACCCTAAACCCTAAACCCTAAACCCTAAACCCTAAACCTCCGCAGAGGACCAGTGCTGCTCCCATCGACATTGACGCGGAGTGGCGCGCTTGGGAAGCCAAAATGAACAAGGCGCTCGCTGCATTAGGGGCTTCGGTCTTAGGGTTTAGGGTGAGGCCTCGCAGTAGAGTTGCTTACAGGGGTTTAAGGTTGTTTGTTCAGGGGAGAAACCTCAAACCATGCTAAGCCCAAGACCCTTTTGCAGAGGTTTCGGTCTAGGTTTTCGGGTTTAGGGCTTCAAGCTTGGGACTTCAGGTTTAGACTTGTATTGGAATTCCTTAAACAAGTGCACCTCCAGAAGGTACCCTACCCCCCCCTCTGAGAGCTCTCATCCTGGCAGCAGTGCGTGTCAGAACCCCTGCCATAAACTCTAGACACGCTAAACCCCCCCCCATAAACTCCTAGACTCTAGACCCGAAACTTAAGACCCCTGAATCCCTACCATATGAACTCCTAGACCCTGAGCCCTAAACCCCAAGCCCCTCTGAACCCCAAATCCCCAAACCCCTCGACCCTCAACCTGTACCATTGACCCTAAACCCTAAACCCTAGACCCCAAACCCTAAACCCTAAACCCTAAACCCTAAACCGCTCGCATCTCATCCCTCGCAGTTTGCCGCAAGCTCCTGCAGGTGCAACCAGCTTCGGGAATGCCAGGCCACGACTGCGCTGGAGCGTAGGGTTTAGGGGAGGATCCGAGCATACATGCTTCATCTGAGCAACCTGCTCTAGGACCACATCGCCTAGGATGTACACTTTCAACCCTGTCCTACTCTTGGGTGCCCTAAGCCAGCCCAAAACCCCTAAGGAGTCATGTTGGGGGGGGGGGGGGGGCAGGTGTCTGTTCTAAATCGTCTAGGCACCTTGTACAATCTCGAAGCAACTCGGCCCTCCCAGCCCTAAACCTGCAAACCTTAACAGCCTATAAACGTATAAACATATAGACCTCCCAGCCTCCAAGCCTCTAAACCTCTAAAGCCGAAACTTTAAACCCTAAACCCTAAACCCTAAACCCTAAACCCTAAACCCTAAACCCTAAACCCTAAACCCTAAATAAGCCCTGCGCCCCAAAAGCCTGAACCCTATCCCTTCTGTTAACCTTAAACCCTAACCCTAGACCCTAAACCTTAAATCCCAAAACCCCCGAACCTTATATAAACGGAACCCGTGTTTTTTTGAAGTTTTTTGTCTTGCAGCGCACTCGCGCGCTGTGTAAATGTGTTGTAAAACACTTCTTTGGAGCGACTCGCTTGCTTGGGGTGGCTAGGGTTGAAGCCCCGGGGCTTCGGGTTCATAGGCTCAGGTCTGCCTGGAAGTCCTCAACCCTAAGCCCTAAACCCCAAGCCTTAAAACCCCCTGAACCCTAAACCCTAAACCCGAAACCCTAAGCCCTAAACCCTAAACCCTGAGCCCTAAGCGCCCTATAAGCCCTAAAAGCCCTAAACCTGAGCCCCTTGAGGCCGTGCCACGGCCGCCAGCTCTGATACCGCGTCGGTGCCGTGGGAGGAACCGGCGGCAGTCAAGGCTTCGGGTGTGGGGGTTTTGGGCTTGGGGTTAAGGGTGTTGGGTTTGGGGTTTAGGGTTTAGGGTTTGGGGTTTGGGGTTAAGGGTCTGGGGTTTGGGGTTTGGGGTTTAGGGGTTCAGGGTTTGGTGTTTGGGGTCAAGCGACTGGACTGCTGGATTATCGAGAATGTGCCCAAAGATCCAGAACGCAGAACAACGAACTATGTAACCGCCATGTGTTTTGTGTACAGACCCTAACCCCCAAGCCCTAAACCCCAACCCCAAACCCTAAGTCTTGATGGGAATCCTTTTCAAGCTTCCCGTAGAAGATTTGGGAAGGGGCGGCTTTCCCTAAGCAGGTAACCATCCTAAACCCCAAATCCTAAACCCCAAAACCCTAAACCCTAAACCCCAACCCTAAATCCTAAACCTAAGCCCTAAACCCCAAACCCCTTTGTGAAGGGGCGGCTTTCCCTACGCAGGTAGCCGTGGAGAAGATGAGCTCCGAGAAGCAAGGCCAGTGAATGTCAGGAAGCTGCTGAGCTGTTCTTAGGGTTTAGGGTTTGGGGTTTTGGGTTTGGGGTTCAGGGTTTGGGGTTTAGGATTAGGGTCTAGGGTTTAGGGTTTAAGGTTTAGGGTTTAGGGTTTAGGGTTAACCCGAAACCCCAAGCCCCAAAATCCTATGAACTCAACTGCGCTGTAGACACTCTCTGTTGGAAGATTTCGGGAACAAAGCGGCCTCGGCTTGACCCAAGCCCAATCGCTATGCTTAAGGAGGCGTGCCGATAGCCTCGAAGGCTCCCAGGGCCTCAGGTATGCCCTAAACCCTAAACCCTAAACCCTAAACCCTAAACCCTAAACCCTAAACCCTAAACCCTAAACCTAAACCCTAAACTACTAGGACCGGGAGTAGGCCCCTTTTTCCTTTTTTTTTTAAGGGTTGGGGTTCCCTCCTAATCCCCTTCAAACCAAAAAGGGCACCCTGTTTATTCCTAGTTTACTCCCGGGTCTAGACTAGCACCCGGAGTAGGTCCTGAATTGTTTTGTTTGTTTAAGGGTTTAGGTTCCCTCGCAATCCTCTTTACAGGTTACTCTTGGGTCTAGTAAGCCCCAACCCTATACCCCCCCATACCCTCGTGCGATGTGCAGAGTTCGGGGCCCCCTGGAAGCAATCCCTCGACTTCTATCCAAGCAAAACCCAAACCCTGAACCCTAAATCCTAAACCCTGAACCCTAAACCCTAAACCCTAAACCCTAAAACCCCAAACCCCAAACCCTAAACCCTAACACTCAATGAAGGCGATAGCCGACTCGTGGCCGGCTCCCAGCCTGTGCAGCCACTGAAGTGAAACGAAGCACAAGATCTCACCGATCACGCCTTGGCCAAGGCCTCGCAACCTTCCCGTCAGCCCTGTGACCCCGAACAGAACACGAGTTGGGTTGAGGCCTTGGGTTTAGGGTCTAAACCTGAACCCTAAACCCTACCAAACCCTCAACCCTCAACCCTACCAAACCCTACCAAGCCCTTCCCAAACCCTACCAAACCCTCAACCCTAAACCCTAACCCTACCCCCCTACCTCCGCCCCCCCACCCCCCCTTGAACAGAAACCCAAAACACCCATGGCGCCGCCATCCACCCGGCCACAGCTGGCCTCAGCGCTGTTGGCCACCATCCCGGGCCTTCTTGTGGAAGAGCCTTGCCGATTCAGCGCCCGGGCAAGAAGGTTTAGGGTTTAGGGTTTGGGGTTTAGGGTTGAGGGTTTAGGGACTCAGGAGGTCTTGGTGCTTTTTGGTAGTTAGGGCTTTCGGGATGTGCATTTAGGAGTTCGGGCTTTAGGGCTTGAGAGTTTTGGAGCTGCAGGGATCGGGAGACTTGAGTTTTGGGGGTTTTAAGATTTCGTGCCTCCCCAGGCTTTTAGGATTTTAAACCTCAAAGACTGGAGAGTAAACCCTAAACCCGAAGCCCGGAAACTTCTGAGGCCCAAAACCCCAAGACCCCAAACGCGACCCTTCGCCCTCAAGCCCCACAACCCTGCAACTCTCGCAACCTAAACGCCCTAAATCCTAAAGTTTAGGGTTCGGGGTAAACCCGCAACCCTCTCGACCCTGATACCCTCACAAACCCTAAACCCTAAACCCCAAACCCTAAACCCTAAAAACTTTACTCCTCGCTGACGAAGGCTGCTTGGGCTGTCACGCTCGGGGCGGCCAGGGCCACGACACAGAGGCCATGGGCGAGCTTTAGTTTTTAGGGTTTGGGGTTTAGGTTTTGGGGTTTAGGGTTTAGGGTTTATAGGGTTTAGGGTTTGGGGTTGAGGGTTGAGGGTTTAGGGTTTAGGGACACGGAGGCCATGGCCGAGCACGTGAACATGCTCCTCGAGGCGCCATTGCTGGAGTTTAGGGTTTAGGGTTTAGGGTTTAGGGTTTAGGGTTTAGTGGAATTAGGGTTTAGGGTTTAGGGTTTATACGGTTTAGGGTTTTGGGGTTCAGGTCTTTTTAGGGCTTAGGGGTGTAGTCTTAGAGGCGCCATGCTGAGGAAATTTAGGGGCTTAGGGGTGTAGTCTTAGAGGCGCCATGCTGAGGAAATTTAGGGGCTTAGGGGTTCAGGGAAGGGACGGAGGGGGTTACGTATCCCTAAAGCCTAATCCCTGAACATCTCAGCTGCAACCGCCACTCCCAACAAGAGACACCTAAAGGTTCATGGATAGAATCAGCACGGTACGCTAAAACAACCTCAAAAGGTTACAACCGCTTAAAAACTATAGTTAGCTTCGAACCCTTAAGGCCTAAGCCCAGAAGCCCCCTAAACCCTAAACCCTAAACCCCAAACCCTAAACCCTGAACCCTAAACCCTAAACCCTAAACCCCAAACCCTAAACCCTAAACCCGAGACCCTAGACCCTAAATCCTAAACCCTAAGCCCTAAACCCTAAACACTACATATGAATTTCAGAGGCCGTGCTGGCACTCCGCCGCAGCGTGCAGCGGCTGGAGTCGGACCACGAGGATTTCCCTTGTTTGGGGTTTTAGGGTTTAGGGTTTAGGGTTTAGGGTTTAGGGTTTGGGGTAACTTTACCCTCAGGGTCCATGTACCTAAATAGGGCATACCTGGGCCTGAAAGTGCCTCCTATATAGGGACTTTGGGGTCCAAGTGTACAATAAGGAGGTACATGGACCCTTATAGGGTCAGGGTTTAGAGGTTTAAGGTTCAGGACATGCACGACGAAATGTCCAACGAAAGCCCAAAAGGTTACAAGCATCTCCTCTATCATGATAGTTGAATTTGCTGTAGGTTCCTCAAGCTTTTCCTCCTTTGTATTACCGCTTTATCAACAGAATGGCGTCATGTAGACGTAATATACGTGTACGTGTGCACGCAGCCGTTCAGGTTTCAAGACCGGTCTTCCACTAGCAGCGACATGAGCGAAGCCCAGGAGGCATCCGACCAACCCCCGGAGTCTGACCCAACGCTCGGAGATGTGGCCTCACACTCTGGCAGTATGGCAGGCAAGCGACCCTTCAGCATCCGCGGTCTCGGAGGCTACGCCGTTGAGGTCGACGTAGACCCTATGGCAGCGGGCTGGGAAGTGGTGGAAGCGGTAGCAGCCAAAGTCGGCCGCCCCGCGGAGTCCCTCGTGCTGACCTCTGGCGGCGGTGTGCTCAATCTGCGTGAGCCCCTGCTGGAACAGGTCAGGAACGACGAAGTCACGTACGTGGCTCAACGCCTCGGTGCAGGTCGGGCTGCGGTGAGCTTGGAGAAAGCCCTTGCGAAGAAAGCCCTCAACCCTGCGGATGCGTGTGCTCTCAGTGAAGTCGTCTCCTTGACTTTTGGCTTGAACTTCGACCAGAGCTTGGAGGGGATCCAGCTCCCCAGCACCCTGCAAATGTTGACGTTTGGCAGTGACTTCGACCAGAGCTTGGAGGGGATCCAGCTGCCCAGCACCCTGCAGACGTTGACCTTTGGCGTCGACTTCAATCAGAGCTTGCAAGGGATCCAGCTGCCCAGCACCCTGCAGACATTGACGTTTGGCCAACAGTTCAACCAAAGCTTGCAGGGGATTCAGCTGCCCAGCACCCTGAAGACGTTGACGTTTGGAGAGGTCTTCAACCAGTGCTTGGAGGGGATCCAACTGCCCAGCACCCTTCAGACGTTGACGTTTGGCCGCAAGTTCAACCAAAGCTTGGAGGGGATTCAGCTGCCCAGCACTTTGCAGGCGTTGACGTTTGGACATGACTTCAACCAGAGATTGCAGGGGATCCAGCTGCCCAGCAGCTTGCAGACGTTGGCGTTTGGATACAACTTCAACAAGAGCTTGGAGGGGTTTGAACTGCCCAGCGCCCTGCAGACGTTGACGTTTGGACATGACTTCAACCAGAGCTTGGAGAAGATCCAGCTGCCCAGCACCCTGCAGACGTTGACCTTTGGCGTCGACTTCAAGCAAGGCTTGCAAGGGATCCAGCTGCCCAGCACCCTGCAGACGTTGACGTTTGGCCACAAGTTCAAGATCCAGTTCTCCGGCACCCTGCAGACCTTGAAGCCTGGCGACACATTCAACCAGATCTTGGATGAGATCCAACTGCCCAGCACCCTGCAGACGTTGACGTTTGGCATCGACTTCAACCAAAGCTTGGAGGGGATCCAGTTGCCCAGCACCCTGCATACGTTGACGTTTGGCTTCAAATTCAACCAGAGTTTGGAGGGGATCCAATTGCCCAGCGCCCTTCAGACGTTGACGTTTGGTCACGAGTTCAACCAAAGCCTGGAGGGGATTCAGCTGCCCACCGCTCTGCAAACGTTGACGTTTGGACATGACTTCAACCAGAGCTTAGAGGGCATCCAACTGCCCAGCACCATTGATACGTTGACGTTTGGACATGACTTCAACCAGAGCTTGGAGAGGATCCAGTTGCCCAGCACCCTTAAGACGTTGACGTTTGGCTTCAAGTTTAACCAAAGCTTGGAGGGGATCCAACTGCTTAGCACCCTGCAGACGTTGACGTTTGGACATGACTTCGCCCAGAGCTTGGAGGGGATCCAACTGCCCAGCACCCTTAAGACGTTAACGTTTGGCCACAAGTTCAACCAAAGCTTGGAGGGGATCCAACTACCCAGCACCCTGCAGACGTTGACGTTTGGCACCGGCTTCAACCAGAGCTTGGAGGGGATCCAACTGCCGCGCACCCTTAAGACGTTGAAGTTTGGACTTAGCTTCAACCGGAGCTTGGAAGGGATCCAGCTGCCCAGCACCCTGCAGACGTTGGCGTTTGGATATAACTTTAACAAGAGTTTGCAGGGGATCCAACTGCCCAGCACCCTTCAGACGTTGACGTTTGGCGGCGGCTTCAACCAAAGCTTGGAGGGGATCCAGCTGCCCAGCACCCTGCAGAAGTTGACGTTTGGCTTCAAGTTCAAGCAGAGCTTGGAGGGGATCCAATTCCCCAATAGCCTGCAGAGGGTCCAGTTTCCGTTCTTTTGTGTTGCCACCTCGATGAGCACAGAAGAGGCATAAGACAAAGCGTATGCCTGGAAAACCATGAACGCCCTAAACCCTCACATGCCCAAACAAACCTCAAAAATCCTAAACCTTGAGCCCCAAACCTTGCAACCCAATCTCAAACCCCAAGCCCTCAAATCCTGACCGAATCCTAGCACACCTACATCTAGGCCATGACAGGTGGGTAGTTTCCCCCTCATTTCTAACCCTTATACAGAGCCTTGGTTTAGGGTTTGGGGATTTAGGGGTTTCGGGGTTTGCGGTTTGGGATTTGGGGTTTAGGGTTTGGGGTTTAGGGTTTGGGGTTTAAGGCTTAGGGCTTAGGGCTTAGGGCTTAGGGCTTAGGGCCCTGAAGCCTATAGATCCTCCCAGTAAGGCTGGGTAGCGTTTGGCTGCAGCCGCAGGTGATGCATGTGCATGCATGTATGTATGCACATGTAGACATACGTCCCAACCTATGTCACCCAATGGCTTGGTTGCTTATAGGAAGCCCGGATGAACACTAAGGTTGCTTTTGTGGACGTGGCGTTTCGGTCGTGCTGGGGCGACTTGCAGTAGAAATGCAGTAAGCACGCCATCGACACCCACCTGTGATTGGAGGAGTTGCATTCATCTTGGACGATGCGTACGAACATCCGTCCCAACCCTAAACCCTAAGCCCCCTAAACCCGAACTTCTAACCCTAAACCCTAAACCCTAAACCCTAAATCCCGAAGCCCTAAACCCGTAAACCCCTGAATGCTAGGCGTCAAGTCTGGCAAGTCGGTCTCCGACTGCGCATGTTTAGGTGAAGTTGTTTTCGTTGTGCTCCTTTTTCTTTGGGTTTACGGTTTAGGGTGTCGGGTTTCGGGTTTGAGGTTTGAGGACCGAGCTCTCGAGTTTGGACCATAGGTTCTTCTTCAGACCTCCATTCTAGCAGCAGGCACCCCCGCCTTCTTCGAGCTTCCGGTTTGGGATTAGGGTTTAGGGTTTGGGCCCCAATTACTGCCCCCGTAAGCCGCACGCACCTTCTCTCGAGTTTCAACAAAGCCCTAAACCCTAAACCCTTTTTCCGACCAGGACTGAAGCTGGCGAAACCCTAAACCCTAAACCCTAAACCCTAAACCCTAAACCCTAAACCCTAAACCCTAAACCCTAAACCCTAAACCCTAAACCCTAAACCCTAAACCCTAAACCCTAAACCCTAACCGAGTGTTCATCCGAAGCCGCAACCCGACCAACGTCAGCCCCGAGGACCCGGAGTCGGCGCCCTTCTTCCGTTATTTTTTAGGGGTTTAGGGTTTAGGGTTTAGGGCTTAGGGTTTAGGGTTTAGGGTCCCGTAGACTCCCCTTGAAATCGACAAGGGGGGCCCTTAATTAATCCCTTTTTTGTAGGGTTTAGGGTCCAGTAGACTCCCCTTTAAAACGATGAGGGGGCCCTGAATCCCCGATGTCTATGCCTGATTCAGCCCCTCAGAGTTGAAGCCCTACAACACAAGAGCAAACCAGGGTTTAGGGTTTAGGGTTTAGGGTTTAGGGTTTAGGGTTTAGGGCCACCCCTCATCCCTAAACCCCGAAGCCTGAAAACCCCTAAACCTTGGGACGTTCCCCCTTTTTTCTGACAGTCCTTAACAGGGATTCTAGCAGGGGGAACTATAATCCCTACAATGGGCTGTTAGTATAAGGGGGAAAACTCCAAACCTAAACCCTAAACCCTAAGCCCTAAACCCTAAACCCTAAACCCTAAACCCTAAACTCCTAAAGGGCCAACTATCCCAAGCTGCTGCAGGAGAAGGAATGCCCGCAGCGGCCGCCTCGCCTCTTGGACCTCGTGAAGTGTAGGGATAGGGTTTAGGGTTTAGGGTTTAGGGTTTAGGGTTTAGGGTTTAGGGTTTAGGGTTTAGGGTTTAGGGTTTAGGGTTTAGGGTTTAGGGTTCAGGGTTCAGGGTTCAGGGTTCAGGAGTCAGGGTTTAGGGATAGATAGGGGCTGTAGGGAAATTTTCTGATCCTTAGCGCGGAAAAGCTTTTATGGACAATTTCTATAAACTCGGATCTCGAAATCTTGCTCTCTCCGGCGTCGCAGAGTCGTAGTGATGTCCGCCCGGCTGCGAGTGAGTCGGGCCGTCGAGGGGGCTGGCGACGGAACTCTCCAGCCCGCGCGCGCGCGCGCGCGCGCCGGAATCCAGTCGGGCTCTGTTATATTGTACGCTGTATATAATCGAGAAGCCTCAAGCCAGGATCATAGCCAAACCTTCAGGCATTGGGGTTTAGGGTTTAGGGTTTAGGGTTTAGGGTTTAGGGTTTAGGGTTTAGGGTTTAGGGTTTAGGGTTTAGGGTTTAGGGTTTAGGGTTTAGGTTTGGGGTTTGGGGTTTGGGGTTTGGGGTTTGGGGTTATTGGGGTTGTTGTTGGGTTTTTGTGGTTTTTGGGTTTTTTGGGGTTGGGGTTAGGTTCCAGGAATTAGGTCGCATCCTACCCTACTTACTAGGTGCCCCGATCCTCCAAGTAGGGTCTCATGGGTTCAGGCCAAGTTTTCCCTGTTTGTTGGGCTCCGGGGCTTCCAAGGGTTTAAGATACAGGAATCCAAGAGAACCAAAACCTCCGAAGCCTGAACATCTAATGTATCTTCAGGAGTGGAAGAGCCAACCGACGATTCTCCCTGGCCTGTCCCACTTCCGCCGCACCTGGGCAGAAGGTGTGTGGCGCGGGCAGCTCGAGTATGGGTTTCAGTAGTCACCTCGAGAAGACGGAGAGAGATAGTGAAAGAAGGAACCAGATCAGAGAGTGAGAGGGTTAGACAGACAGAGAGATGGGAGCCCCTGGAAAAGAAAAGGAGGAAAGGAGAGATCGTCCTGCATCTCTTCGTGGGGTGTAGAAGTTGAGCCATGTCCCAGCCTGAGGCCTCCCTTCAAGGATGATCTTCCGCCGCCACAAGCGCAGGCCCCCGCCCCGCAGGAAGACGAGCCGGCCGTGCCAGGGAGTCGGCCACCGCAGCCTCCCAGTCCAGCGGCTCCGGGCAACCCGGAGCTTGGGCAGCAAGGCCAGCGCGAGCCGGAGGCGCAAGCAGAACAGGCGCCGCAGCCGCAAGCACAGCCGGCGCAGCCGGCACAGCCGGCACAGCCGGCTGAGCCGGAGCCGTTGGACCGCACCCCACAGGCGGAGTTCCCGGTGCCGACACTCTTCTCGGAGCACCCGAAGCGAGCCGAGCCCCCGGAGCTGAAGGTGCCCAGACACCTCCCAGACCACAAGCCCATGTGGCAGGAGATGATGGAGACACAGGACCCACCCTTGCCACCACCCCTGCAAGTGCCCCAGCCGGAAGAACGAGCCCAGCTGCCTCCCAGCCGACCTGCACTAGGCCCGGGGAAGACACAATATCCCCTTCCCTCTGAGCCCCTAGCTTTTAAATATTCTGCATACACCAGAATATCAGGGTTTAGGGTTTAGGGTTTAGGGTTTAGGGTTTGGGTACGGCACCGAGGGGATTTCATGTGAGGGTTTTGAATCGAGGGGATGTCGGGGAGAACCAGAAACCGCCTCGCCCGAAGCCAAGACAGCCCAGGGAGCCGAAACCCTAAGTGCTAGAAGCCCACACCACAACCCCAAACCCTACAACCCTTTAGATGCCCGAAGCCCGACGCCCTAAGCCCTAAGCCCAAACAGAATCCTAAAGAACCCCCCAAAACCCCAAGCCCCTGGTCCCCCAAAGCCTATAAGCCCTTAGAAGGAAGCGCCTCGCAGGCGATGGCGGCGCCCCTGCCGAGCAGGGCGTGATTTCCGACACGGGGCAGATGGCAACTCTGCTGGGCTGGGGTGTCGGGGAGTTTTTGGGCTTTAGGGCTCCAGGGTCTTTAGGGGTTTTTTAGGGCTTCCAGGGTTTTTGGGGTTTTTCGGGTTTTTTAGGGTTCAGGGTTTATGTACGGGCTTTCAAAGTTCTTGGGACTCTAGGGTCTCTGGGGTTTTAGGGTTGTTCTCGGGCTTTCAACCAGGGTGTCCAGGCTCCCCTTCAGTAGGCTTGGTTTAGGCTTTAGGCTTTAGGCTTTAGGCTTTAGGCTTTAGGCTTTAGGCTTTAGGCTTTAGGCTTTAGGCTTTAGGCTTTAGGCTTTAGGCTTTAGGCTTTAGGCTTTAGGCTTTAGGCTTTAGGACGTTAGGGCTGTAGGGTGTTGGGGTCTTCGAGTTTCGGTTTAGGATTTGGGGCTCTTGCGGGGCCTTCGGGTCCATGGTTTTCAGGCTTCCAGGGTTCGGGTGCTGTTGAGTCTGAGGTTCTGGGTTTTGGGGGGTTGGGTTTAGGTGTTTTTTTGGGGGTTTAGGTGTTTTTGGGGGGTTGGGTTTAGGTGTTTTTGGGGGGTTTTAGGGCCTGGGGTTTGGGACTTTGGGTGTGGGGTTGAAGTTTCGGAATGTCGGGTTGGGGTGCACCTCCCCTGTTCACGGGCTCCCTGAGAGGGGAACTGTGAGTTGCACAGCCGACCTCTCAAATTTGTAGGGGTTTAGGGTTTAGGGTCTAGGGTTTAGCGTTTAGGGTTTAGGGTTTAGGGTTTAGGGTTTAGGGTTTAGGGTTTAGGGTTTAGGGCAGGGTCCGAATCCCGAAGCCCTAATAAGTTTTACAAGTTCTAAACCCGAAACCCCAAACCCCAACATGCAGTGGCTCCAAGGACCTTCTCCGCCTATTGCAGGGCACCCAAGAGGAGGCACGTACGTGGAAGCCAAGCCCGGCCATGCGTATAAGGTACCCCAAACCCTAAACCCTAAACCCTAAACCCTAAACCCTAAACCCTAAACCCTAAACCCTAAACTAAACCCTAAACCCTAAACCCTAAACCCTAAACCCTAAACCCTAAACCCTAAACCCTGGAGGGTCTGGGGGCTTAGGGGGCTCAAAAGCTTATGGGTTTGGAGTTGCGAGGCCCGCAGCCACGCAGAAGCAGTCAAAGATCGTTCAAAAACAGGTGTAGGGGCCCTAAACCCTAAACCCTAAACCCTAAACCCTAAACCCTAAACCCTAAACCCTAAACCCTAAACCCTAAACCCTAAACCCGGGTTCCGACCTTTAGCACCAAGGAGCGAAGACAGGGCCCCAGTTCTTCCCATTAGGTTTAGGGTTTAGGGTTCAGGGTTTAGGGTTCAGGGTTTAGGGTTTAGGGTTTAGCACTCAGCGTCTTAGGGGCTGGGTAGTTAACCTTTAACCTTTTTGGCTAGATGTATGTATATATGTATGTAAATAAATAAATATAAAATTTTGAATAAATAAATAAATAAATAATTAAATATGTATATATATATATTCCGATTACAAAGAAACGGTTAGCCTTTTTTGGGCTAGGAGATTCAGCCCCTAAGGTTCGTTGCTAGAGGCCCAACTCAGTTTCAAGGGACTATGTTTAGGGTTACATGATGTTACATGTGCACCTCATTCCCTGCTAAACCCTAAACCCTAAACCCTAAACCCTAAACCCTACATGAGCCAGAGAATAAAACACCCGCCCTCCATCAACTGCTCCTACCGTGAGGCCCCGCCACCGCCGCAGTCGCGCGCAGGTCGGCGAGGGCTAGGGTTTAGGGTTTAGGGTTTAGGGTCTAGGGTTTAGGGTTCAGGGTTTAGGGTTCAGGGTTTAGGGTTTAGGGTTCCACCAAATCTTTGTGAGCCCAAAGCCCACACTCTGAGACACTTAACCATAAAGTTTGCAGTGCAGGAATCTTGTTCTGTGCTTGCTTCAGAGCACGATTTCGATTCTTGGACTTTGCAACTGTGTCAGTAGGCAGTTGCTCATGCTACAGGGTCGATCCCGGACGTTTCGCCGGGTTTCGTAGTCTGAGCCCATCCCGCCTCAGAGCGATACAAGCCTCAGGGCCTAATCGCACCAGGCTACGGCCATCTGCTTCTTGCTGCTGCATCCAAAACCCCATCACCCCTAAACCCTAAACCCTAAACCCTAAACCCTAAACCCTACACCCAAATCCGAAACCCTGAGCCCACTCACCCGATACACTCTCCAAGCCCTAACCTCTTAAGCCTTACCAAACCCTTAAAGCCTAAACCTTAAAAAATGCCCAAAACCCTAAACCCTCCAAACCCTAAACCCGAATTAAGCCCATTCTTCGCCCCCCCCCAAAACCCTAAACCTCTGTGCAGCTCAACCGCAATACTTGAAACCATCATCCTACGGGCCATTCAATGTAGCTTCAGGGTTTTGGGTTCAGGGTTTCAGGGTTTCAGGGTTTCAGGGTTTCAGGGTTTCAGGGTTTCAGGGTTTCAGGGTTTCAGGGTTTCAGGGTTTCAGAGCTTAGGCTTTGGGGTTTAGGGTTAAGGGTTTAGGGTTGTTAGGTTTCAGGGTTGCAGGGTGTAGGGTTTTAGGGGCTTAGGGTTTGGGGGCTTCGTTGTACGGGCTCAGAGTTTAACTGGGTAGTTCTCTGGGGTCATTTTAAATTTGCCTTCTTTCCCTTGTAAGGGAACCTATTCATAAATAATTTTCAAAGGGCTCTAAAGCACCACTCAGTTAAGGGCGATCTGCTTCTGCTAGGCCCGCCCGTGCCCAGCACGCGCCCTCTTGAGGAGGCGCGCAGCAGACTGCAACCCAAATGCCCGACCCTAAACACCCTAACTGACAAAGACCTAACCCTAAACCCTATAAACCTTGAACCCTTTAACCCCTCAAACCCAAGATCCCAAGCCCAGAGAGTTAGGGGTCGTCTTTCTCTGGGGCCCCTGCACGCCCTTAAACCCTAATTGCTACCCAAGAAGGTGTCGAACAGGGGTGCATGTACCCCAACCCTGTAAACCCCTAAGCCCTAAACCGTTAAACCCTAAACCCTCATCCCCAAAACCGTAGAAAGCCACAACTTTCAAAGGGGACGCCAGGTTAGCACAGCCGAGCTTGTCGCGGCCAAGACGCTTGTGTTGCCGGGGACGAAGCAGGCTGCGTTTAGGGCGCAGGGCTTAGGGTTCAGGGCTTAGGGTTTAGTAAGGGTTTTATTTGGAACGGTTCAGCGGTTAAGCACCAGGGTCAGTCTTTAGGGGTTTGGGGGGGGGGGGGGGGGGGGGGGGTTGGGTGGGGCGGGGGTGGGGGTGGGGGAGGGTTCTTACACACACTTGCGGAAAGCGTCGCAGGGTAGCGTGGTAGAGACGAGGTTTAGGACGGGACGAGACGTTTGTGTTGCCTTCTGGTTGAGGATGTCCAGCATAGGACATATAATCTAGGACCCAGCGTAGGCCCTTATTTCTTTTTTAGGTTTCAGGTTCCCTTAATTAGTTACAAGCCCTTTTAACACCCAAAGGGCACCCTTTTTATTCCTAGATTACTCTCTTGGGTTTACGAATTCGTGTTCAGAGGCGCATTCCTCGAGAATCCAAGACACGCGAATCTGCCATTGTGCAGGTTTGTCCAGCAACGCCGCCCCGTGCCGCGCAAGGCCCACATCGTCGGCTTTTAGGGTTTAGGGTAGTTTGGGGTTTAGGGTAGTTTAGGGTTTAGGGTAGTCTAGGGTAGTTTAGGGTAGTTTAGGGTTTAGGGCCTTGCAGGGTTCAGGGTAGTTTAGGGTCCAGGCTTTCGGGTTTGGGGTCCAGGGTTTAACGTTGAGGTTGTCGTTGAGCTTCTGGTTGGCATACTCAGACAGCATGTTTCCGGAAGTGGTGCGACCACAGATCAAACCAGAGGCCAAACCAAACAAAAGCCTGGAGTTGGGATGTTCCCCCTTGTACTAACAGTCCTTAATGGGGACTATAATCGGGCATACAATAATCTCCCTATGAAGGACTGCTAGTATAAGGGTGAACATCCCAAGCCTGGAGCACTGAACTTTAGCCGCTTTCAAAGCCTAAAGCCGCCCACGCTCTATAGACGCTTTACCTGGACCCCCAAACTATGTAAGTAACAATAGCCCACAGCCCATACACAAGGGCATTGTTTTTCATATAGGAATTTCCGAGAATAGGGGTACCGCTTATATACCCCAAAATATTCTACAATCCTGTTACAGGAGCCCCCAGAAGGGTACCTCCATTTTCGGAAACCCCCCCCACATATAGGGGGTCTAAAAACCTAAACCCTGAACCCTTAACCTTAGACACCCTAGAAACCCTAGAAACCCTAGAAACCCTAGAAACCCTAGAAACCCAACCCTAAACCTTCGAAACTCTAAACCTGAGAAACCCTAAACCTTCGAAACCCTAAACCTTAGAAACCCGAAACCCCAAACCCTAAACCTTAAACCCTAACCCTAAACCCTAAACCCTACACCCTACACCCTACACCCTAAACCCTAAACCCTAAACCCTAAACCCTAAACCCTAAACCCTAAACCCTAAACCCTAAACCCCCAACCCGAGGTGCGCCGGAGCTTCGATCTATCGCTGCCGCGCTGCTGCAAACCACGCCCCCGTCGGTGGGCGTGGAGGATCAGCTGCTGCAGGCTCCGGGTTTAGGGGTTCAGGGGTTTAGGGTTTAGGGTTTAGGGTTTAGGGTTTAGGGTTTAGGGTTTAGGGTTTAGGGTTTAGGGTTCAGGGTTTAGGGTTTAGGGTTTAGGGTTTAGGGTATCCCCCCAAGAGAGCAGGCAAATGGAGCCCAAGGTTATTGCGAGGTTGCCCAATGATACTAGCACCCTTTTGGGGATGGAATTCAATCCTGACTCTATGAAAGAAGGGGTCAGCAACCTGAAAGCATGCCGTTGAAGACCCCGAAATTGGGCTTCGCGTTGTTCAAATCCTTGTAACCCAACAACTTAGCCGAAGTATTCTTAAAACCGCTATATCATCCTTCGGTCCGAAAATATGCCGAAGACCGTAGAAGTGCCCTAACCCCCCTTTAGTCCTCTATCCACTTGTCCTGATTCCTTGTACAATGCGCAAAGCAGGGAAAGGCATCCCATCCTAAATCCAAAGCCCCAAACCCCTAACCCGCCCTAACCCTAAACCCTAAACCCTAAACCCTAAGGTCACGGAAACTCTAGGTTTCGATTCCCCGAACCCCAACTTCTCAGGACTCTTAGGGCGGTTTACACGGGCCCTTTGTCTGGGCCCGCAGTGCAGGAGCCCTTGCCTACTCCTTCCAGAACTTTATGGAACGATATAAGGTACGGGAGCAGATCACCCAGAACTCTTATCCCTAAACCCCAAACCCTAAACTCTAAACCCTAAGCCCTAAGCCCTAAACCCTAAACCCTAAACCCTTTGCCCTGGTAGGCTGAAAAAGAGGAGCGGCGAGAGTTTGAGGCGCCGCTCTCGACTTCAATGGGTTCATCCTCAAGCCCGAAGTTCTTGGCCTGTTAGTCCTATTCAAGCCCTAAACCCTAAACCCTAAACCCTAAACCCTAAACCCTAAACCCTATTATCAGCTCTAGGCCTTAGACTTTAATCTTGAGCCGCAAGCCTTCAACCCCAATCCCACACTCTGAACCTTAGCTCAACTTTGGTCTATGCGATGTGGGATGTGACCATTGGTTCTCCTACTCGGAAGCTTGACTTAGCAAGCAGGGTTAGTAAGTTGGGTTATATAGGGTTTCTAGGGCGTACTAAGTCAAAAGAGCTTCCAAGTAGGGTGTCCACAAGGAAGAGTACTTGATGGCATCACCGTTTGACTAGGGTTTCGGGTTTTGATGGCATCACCGTTTGATGGCGGTTTATGCCGTTGGTTGAGGGTTTAGGGCTAGGTGCGATCTACAACACCATTTCAAGTCGATGCAGATGCGTCACGTCACTGGAAGACCCTGGCAAAGCAGCTCTACGTTCCAAAGCTTCCAAACCTCAAGCTATCCAGCCCTGATAGACCCTAGGTTTAGGGGTCTGAGGGGGTTTAGGGGGTTCAGGGGTTCTCGGGCTTGCGGTTTAGGACTTTTAAAACAACCCAAAGACCTAATACTCCCTAGCAAGCCAGACCTGAGATCGGTTTCTAGGCAAGGAGCAGCCGTGACGAACCACTGCAACAACAGGTTTCACTTCAGCGTGATATCTTTAGGGTTACCACCGGATGCGAAGAAATGCCCTATCACTGTTGGGCAGATGGCTGGCACCAATGCCTCTGTCTGTAGTCCCTAAACCCTAAACTTTAAACCCTAGACCCGAACCCAAAACCCCTCAACCCTAAACCCTCAGCCGAGCGAGGGCTCCTCTGAAACTGCTGCTCAAATTCTGCAAAGGCTCGCCAAGCTGCTGCAGCTGAAGAGGAAACCTGCATATGCCCCTAAACCCTAAACCCTAAACCCTCAACAGGTCCAGGCTGGTTTCCTGTACTGACGGCACCCAAAACCCTATAGGCCCCTGCAGGACTGGTCTCCTGTGGTATTTGATTGCAGCAGGTCTCTCTCTGTCCCTCCTCTCCTCTCTCTCCTATCTCTCTTTCTCGCCCTCCCTCCTGCCTCCTTCCCTCCGGCGGAACCAAGGTTTGCCTCTGTATGCCCAACAATACTCAAGTACCGGTTGGCTTGCGGGGCTCGAAGGTAGTTCGATCGGGTGCCCCATGACGTCGTGGCCCTAAAGCCCTAAACCGTAAACGTCACCGGAAACTCCGGGTTCCGATTCCCTGAACCCCAGATTTTCAGAACTCTTAGGGTAGTTTGCACGGGCCCCTAGTACAGGCCCCTAGTTCTGGAGCCCTTTTCTATTACAAAACCCTAAGCCTTAAAACCCTAAACCCGAAAAGCCCTTAGATTGGCCTTCCTTCTGTCCAAGCGAAGCCTGCGGCGGAAGGTCCCAGCGTTTAGGCACTTCCCCAAAGGCCTTCTATCACCCTGACGCCTGGGTTTAGGGTTTAAAGGTTTTAAGGTTTAGGGTTTAGGCTTTTGAGGTCGGGCGGTGGGGGGGGGGAGGGTGCCTTGTCTCTCTTAGAGTATCATCCTTATCGTTTTTTGAGGACCGAAATTTCAGGAGGCTCCCATGCATTTTAGGTCAGCCAGAATCTAATTGGAGGTTCAGGGTACTTATAACCTCACTGTGGTTAGAAGTAGCCATGAACCTCCAAGTATGGCTGCAGGAGGCGCGAGGGGCTGCAACGGCTGCAGCCATGGATGAGGAGAAGGCTGAAGTGGGAAGCCCGACATCCCTGCATACCCTGCACCCCTAAATCCCTAAATAATCCTAAACCCCCAAACCCACAAATCCCCAAACCCCCAAACCTCTGAATCCCTAAACCCCCAAACCCACAAATCCCCAAACCCCTAATCCCCTAAACCCCTAAATCCCCAAATAAATCCCTAAACCCCTCAACCCCTAAACCCCTAAACCTAAACCCCAAACCCGAAGTCCGGTTTCGAAGAGAGACTTCTAGGGGCAAGTTGGGTGGATCCTCGAAGGGATGCTACTCTTAAACTGGAGCGCTGGCCTATGCCACCTCCTGAACCCTAAACCCTAAACCCTAAACCCTAAACCCTAAACCCTAAACCCTAAACTCCGTAGACCCTAGACTCCCCAGACCGAACGAGCAAAGTCGGCCAGGGCCCGCCAGATGCTCCGCACGACGAGGAGGACTGCAGTGGACCCTCATCCCTAAAACCCTGCAACCACCATAAGAGGGTTTCCGAAAATAGGGGTACCCTTGTCGGGGCTCCCTTCTAAGGGGATTCTTTTCTATTTGGGGAATAAACGGGTTACGCCTAATTTGGGAAATGCCCAGAACCACTCCACTGCTGCAGACTATAACTACCGCTGCCATTCTATTACCACTACTTCCACTAGAACCCCTTTCACCGCTAGCCCTAAACCCTAAACCCTAAACACTAAACCCTAAGGTTAGTCACTTCGTCCTCATCCCAGCAGATGTTGATGGAATTCGAGAACCAGTGCCTGGATCACTTTTTATTGCGGCAATAACCGGGGGACAAGCCGTCATGTGGATGGCAGGGAAACTGCCAAAAAAAGGCTCAAGAATCGAGAGGACAGGACAGAGATGAGCCACTCTCTGGTGCATGGGTCCAAGATCTTCACTTTGGAGTCCGGCGAAATTTCCTGGAGAGACAGTATCCAGAACGTCTTCCGCTTTGGGAACCCTCTAGGTGAAGGAAGGACCACAGATTTGGGAGGTGGAGCAGTGGTGGCATCGACAAAGATGGAGTCAAAGCCGACTACTTGCTTAGGAGGGACCAGGCCCACGTATGCCGCTGCTGCCTTTCGACGGCTCATCCTAAGATGTGTGACATCATCCTTTACGATGATATGCAGGCGGTCATAACGGGAGCTGTAATCCCAAGCTCCAGTCCAATGAACTCAGAAACCCACTTGTAAGCCCCTTACGTGCCCTAATATGGGTATAACTGGGTTACCAGCAGGGTTCTTATGGGTTGAACAAGTGCCATGAACCTCCGAGTAGGATTTAGGATTACGGGGCTTACCCCGAGCGTGGATTTTTCATCTGATGGAGGAGTTGCGCACCAAGGGTCTCTACATAATCCCCTGCAGAGTCATCTCGGGGATGTAAAATACCTAGCTCCAGAGTTCCCTAAAACCCTAAACCCTCAAGCCTACGCCCCCTGAACCAAGCTACGAGCCCGCAAGAAGATTCTAGCCGTCCGCCTGACTCAGCCTTCGCCTTTCATGGAGGCATGCTCATCCCCTATGTCCTGAAGGGGAGGGAAGGCGGAAGGGTCTATAAGCCCCATGAGGGTTTAGGGCCTTTGGGCTGTATAGGGTGTATACATGGTCTCCCCCATGAAGGGCCCTAAACCCTAAACCCTAAACCCTAAACCCCAGACCCTAGACCCAAGACCCTGAACCCTAAACCCCAACATTGGCCCACCCGGAACCTCCACCGCCTTAACGAGAGCACTTTCCTCTCCCCATGGCAGGAGTTCCCCGAGGGGCAGGAGGCTCTGGCAACGCTCAACCGAGCTACTGCGCAGCTGCAGAAGAATGAGTTTCCAGCCTTAGATTTAGGGGCCCTAGGGGCTTAGGGCTTTTAGGGTTTTTAGGGCTTCAGGGTGTTTTTGCTGGTTTGCGGCTCTTTTGCAAGCTGAAGCCTTTAAAGGTTCTAGGAAAGTTTAGGCTCACGCCAGATTCTGCTGAAGAAGATCCTCCAACCTTGGGGACCAAATGAACCCTAAAAGGGTTGATGGTTTCATGTTCCTGAAAAGGGATAGTGTGTGACCCCGATTTTCGGCTTCACGTGGTCCCCAGTTGGCGTAGTCCTCCAGTGGTAGACCCTAAACCCTAGACCCTATACAGTAAACTCCAAAAAGTTGGCGCATCCGTATCCCCATAAGGGTTATATATCCCAGCTCTAATCATCCTTAAACCATGTTCCAACTTTCTGGGGTTTACTTAAGGACCCTAAACCCTGAACCCTGAACAATGAAGCCCTGGCACTGAGCGCAAGAAGACTCCGAGTGCTACTGCCAGCACCATGCTCCACCTAAACTCAAAGAAGTTTCGCCTAAACCCTAAATCCTAAATTTCAGAATCAGCTCCGGTTGAAGGGTTCTGGGCAGCATGTGGGAGGGTGATAAGCGCCCTATGTACGGCCAGAGAACCATTGAGAATGAGGGTTCGAGGTCCCCTACCCCAGATACAGTTTAGGGTTTTGGGTTTTGGGTTTCGGGTTTAGGTTAGTTGCAAGTACCCATGAACCTCCAAGTAAGCCCTCTACGACCCTAAGCCCTAAACCTTCTGAACCCGAGCCCAAAATCCTGTACCAAGCCTAAACCTGTTATACACCTCCAAGTAGGCTTTCGCTTTCGAGGCACCGCTTCCCGTGAGGATGCAGCCTTTGCATGCACCTAATTAAAGTTCCTCCAAGTAGGAAACATCTTTAAGAAAATCCTGAGACCCCCGCAACTGCCCAGGCTGAGCCATGCGGAAGCAGCCAGAACCTTCTCTCGCCTCGTAGCCGGGCTACTGCGCCTGCACCTAGCGCCCTAAACCCTAATCCCCCAACCCTAAACCCCAAACCCTAAACCCTTTCCGGGCAGGGGAGGGATGGGAATGTTTGCGGTTTAGGGTGGCTTGAAGGTAACAAGCTTCGTGGAGTTAGCAAGGCTCCCGGACAGGGTGAAGAGGTGTCGTCCATTATAGTCTACTCTGGATTTACAGATACTCTTTTTCTGTCGCTCACACACGGTAAGGAGACGTGGGAACATGCGCAGAAACACTTTTGGGATGTCCGAGCGGTTTACGCACACATCAATCGCCTGGCGACGACCATGCTATCAACTACAGAAAGCCTCGAGGACGTTCTGGGAGACCTCTCAGACAAGGCCGGTCGCGACACGAAGTCCGCAATGTACCTCGCTCCAGAAAGACTTTTCATGCAGGCGACGCTGAGCGGGCGTCTGCGCAGGGCTGAGCCAACATTTCTGCGCTTGCAACCAGGAGAGTACGTAGCTCCGATGAGGAGTAAAAGCGTAGAGTCGGATGTTCAGGAGGGGGAAGTTCTTGGGACGTTAGGGACGGGCCAGAGAGTAGGGTTTGGGGCTTCGGCGATGTAAAGGTGTAAGGCTTTGGGATGTTTAGTGTATTTAGGGTTTAGGGATTAGGGTTTAGGGTGTAGGGATCAGGGTGTAGAGCGAGGGGTTTTAGGGCTCCCGAAAAGCACCTGGGCTTGTTCCAAATTGCTGCAACTCCCTACAAGAGGACCTTAGTATGTCTATAAGCCCTGAACCCTGAATCCTAAACCCTAAACCCTAAACCCTAAACCCTAAACCCTAAACCCTAAACCGTAAACCCTTGCTTCTGGGTCCGGGACACAACCCAGGCTGAGGCCTGGTCGGCTCAGATGTTCCGCGCTGCTGAACCGTGCGTGCCTCGCCACAGCTTTTGGGGGTTTAGGGTTTAGGGTTTAGGATTTAGGGTTTGGGGTTTAGGGGTTAGGGTTTAGGGTTTAGGGTTTAGGGTGCTGGTCTGAGGGGCTTCAGGGTTTCGGGGCTTCAGTGAGTTTAGGAGCTTCGTAGGTTTTGGTCTAATGGTTCGCGCGCTTCTTCAAGTTTGCGCTACGTGCCTCAACAAGGCCTCAACAAGAGATTTCTAGAACCGGAATTTGAATGCATTACTTGTCTTCAGTATCACATTGGAAGGGTTTCCACATGATTCTGCAAATGCGCTCTGGCCTGTTTTTAATGCGCAATTCAGATGGCACAAAGTTCGTGACCTTCTGCCCAAACCCCGAACCTCGCAACATTAAGCCCTAAACCCTCTAGGGTCCAGGGTTTAGCCTGAAAACCTTAAACGGTCCTAGCCCCAGCTTCCTTCGCTGGCCATTCTTGAGCCCTTAAGCCATTCTTTCTCTTCATTGGGCTTAGGGCTTGGGGTTTAGGGTTTTCGTCCTAAGCCCCCGAAACCCTTTAGCCCTCACGACTTCATGTGCTGTTCGGTTCGTGGCTTAGGGATTTAGGGCTTCATGTGCGGGTTTGTGGGCCTAGGGCTTAAAGGGTTTAGCCTCAGTTATAGGGTTCTTGAGGGAGGGAGGTTCAAGGGGGCTAGGTACCTCGGAAACCTTAGGGAAGGGAGTAGTGGCCCTTGAACCCCCTAAACCCTAAACCCAAACCCTAAACCCTAAACCCTAAACCCCAAACCCTAAACCCTTAAGATCCCCATCACTCAGGCATTGCTACGTGGGCATGGGCATGCTGCAAGATGCCTTAGCCGACATCCAGGAAATAACGAGCCTCGAAGGCAAGGTCGCGTGGGTTCCCAAACCTAAACCCTAAACCCTAAACCCTAAACCCTAAACCCTAAACCCTAAACCCTAAACCCTAAACCCTGGACGCCCTAATCCTTCGACCCTAGGCCTCACGCTTTCGGTGCTAAGGTTTCGGGTTTCAGGGTTTGGGGGTTAGGGGTTAGGGCTTAAACTAACCCTAAAGCAGAAGCCCCAAATCGGAAACTCGAAGCCAGAAGTTGCTGAGAAACTCAAGTTTTCAATGTTTATGCACGTTGGGGTTGACTCAATGGCCCTGATGGGCCACAGTGGCCGCGATTTTCACAACCTGGCACATGTACAGCTACTGCACCTAGGCTAGATTCACACTAAACCCTAAACCCTAAACCCTAACCGTACTTCATGCAGCAAAAACAAGAGCCACGGAGGCTGAAGGAGAGGGTGCCCTCGCCTCGCAGATGATGTTCGAGGGTTTGGGAAGTTTAGGGGCTTAGGGTTGGGATGTTCATCCTTCTACTAGGGTTTAGGGTTTAGGGTTTTGGGTTTCGGGTTTTGGGTTTTGGATTCTAGCAGTCCTTAATCGTGATTCCTTTACCCCCTAGAAGGGGGAACATCCCAAGCTTAGGGGCTTGAAGGGCGGTCGGGTGGCGGGGGGGCGGGGGTTCCTGAAGCCCTACTTGACATCCGTCATGGTCCACCCTAAATCCACGGGTTTAGGGTTTAGGGTTTAGGGTTTAGGGTTTAGGGTTTAGGGTATAGGTTCTAGGATGCCCCCCTAAAGGTACATTCCCAAATGTATTGAACCACCAACAACACTACCCAGACCCCTACGCTCGCATCACCTAGGACTGAGTAAGACCCTTTTTTTCCCTTTTTTAGGGTTGGGGTTCCCTTCTATAATCCCCTTAAAACCAAAAAGGGTTTAGGGTTTAGGGTTTAGGGATTTTTTAGGGTTGGGGTTCCCTTATTATCCCCTTAAAACCAAACCGAGTACCCTTTTATTCCTAGTTTACTCCCGGGTCTAGTCACATCCCCAAGACCCGTACCCTAGTAGCCTGGCTCTGAAGTGCGAGCCTTGGGCTTTGCAGGGTATGTGAGGGGTATAAAAGGTTTCCTCAGTTAAGTAAGATACCCTAAGCCCTAAGCCCTAAGCCCTAAACCCGAAACCCTAAACCCTAAACCCTACTTGTAAAGCCTAACCCTTGTGTGTAAACCCCAAAAAGCGCAGAACTCCCCTCAGTCCTTCTACCGGGCTTCATGCAGGCGCCGTGGATGGCTTCGACGCATCGCGTTGGCCCAAGGCTTCCCTTGGCAGTTTTTGGATTTAGGGTTTAGGGTTTAGGGTTAGGGGTCTAGGGTTTAGGGTTAGGGGGGTTCAGGGCTTAGGGTTCAGGGTTTAGGGTTTGGGGTTGGGAGTTTGGGGTTCACGGCTTGGGGTGTAGGGTTCAGGTTTTACGTTTTTTTTTTTTTTTTTTTTTTCAGGTTCTAGGGTTCAGGAGCAGAAGCCCGAAACTAGAGCCTACTGGTTCAGCACATACCCCCCCATCCATCATATCCTCATACAATGAAGGCACGTGCTTTCTCTCTCTCTCTCTCAATCTCTCTCTCTCTCTCTCTCTGGCTCTCTCTCTCTCTCTCTATCTCTCTCTCTCTCTCTTTCAGAGGTGATGCATTGGGGTCTACCGTTTGGGGTTTTAGTTTGCAAGGCGAGGTATTAATAGAGCATAGGGTTTGGGGTCTGCAGGGCGTCGAGCTAGAGTTGTGTCCCTAAACCTTCAACCCTAAACCCCTAACCCTAAACCCTAAACCCTAAACCCTAAACCCTAAACCCTAAACCTTAAGACCCCCCGGAGTTGTGTCCTGCAGGTTTGGATGAGCCGCGGCGGTATCCACCGCAAGCTTGCCCAATCGGCCGCCGGCGCGGAAGCGGAGAAGCTCTATGGCAAGGCCGGGGAGTGCCAGAAGCCTCCAATTAAACCCTAAACCCTAAACCCTAAACCCTAAACCGTAATTAAGGAATAATTATACCTTACATCATATGAGGGATCCTACTTATATTTTAAGGCATTTTCCTTATTTAAGGAATATACCTTAAATCATATGAGGGATCCTATACTATCATTTAAAGCATATTCCTTAATTCAGGGATATTGGAGTCTTTGGGAGTGCCAGAAGCCTCCCAAACTAGCCCTCAACCCTACAAATCAAACTTCTGCCTCCTACGAATGCATAAGGGCCCTACAGATGTATGTATATGTACATACATACGTTTCTTTTTTTATAGAATCCCTATTATGTAAGGGTAGTTGAGGTCGAAATTTTGCGGCCTCAGCTCTGGGGGGGGTGTCGCGCCCTAACCCCAAACCCCTGACCCTACTCCCGACGAACCCCTAAGCCTGGTTTCGGAAGGCATCTGGTTTCGCAAGATGTCTCCCTAAACTTGTCTCCCTAAACCCTAAACCCTAAAGCCTAACCCTAAACCCTAAACCTTAAGAACTCTCCCGTAAGAACCTTATAATAAGTTGAAGATCTCAGCAAGGCCAAGGCTGACTACGAGCATGTGCTCTCCATTCAGAGCCCTCCCCGCACATGGGAGTTTTAGGGTTTAGGGTTTGGGGTTTAGGGTTGAGGGTTTAAGGTTTTGGGTTTGGGGTTTAGGGTTTAGGGTCTAGGGGGCAGGGTTCTAGGGTTTCGCACCCTTTGTATTGTTTGGGGATGGGGGACCGTGTTGAGACAAGATTCTCTCTTTCCATCTAGCCTGGCTTAGGGTATTTGCAACCGCAGACTACGTACCCATGAACCTCCAAGCACCCCTACCTAAACCGTCAATCCCAAAAATCTCCAGCACCTTCCTTGTAGACGGCGAAGTGAAACGTAGCAGAGTGTAGCATGAGGTACACCGTAAACCCCATGCCGTAAACCCTGAGCCCCAGACAACACGTCGCTGGGCTGAGCCTCAGCTTCTTGACGTTAAGGGTTTAGGGTTTAGGGTTCAGGGTTTACGGTTTAGGGTATGGCTTACAAAAGAAGGATGAGGGCCGGGCGAGGTGGACTCGTCACCGCGATTTGTCGAGCAGCCCATGTACACGGTGTGCGCGGGCCGGCCTCGTCTCCTCGGGGCTTGATATGCGCCGCGAGAACTTTTGAAGGAGATTCGATTCCAAATCCTGCTGGTATTGGTGACGTTCTTGCAGGGGCAAATGGAGTCAAGAGGTGCATGCACGCCTCTGATGCACCATCCCTGTCGTCATGTGAACGACTTTCCAAGGTCGCCCATGGGAACTTGACAATTCGTGAGAGCCCTAGAACATTGCGTCTCTGGAAACCCTAACCCCTGAACCCTAAACCCGAAACCGTAAACCCTAAACCCTGAAGCAAGATGAATCCGCTATGTTTACTTTCGAGCTCTGGACGTCTACAGAAGCAGAAGGCGAGCCCTAAACCTCTAAACGCTACAGTCCCTAAACCCTAGAATCCCTAACCCCGAAGCCCTTAGCTCCAAAACCCAGGCCCTAAAGCCTAAATTTAGTCCTAAACCCTAAACCCCAAACCCTAAACCCGAGTCCCTATTTAGAGTTAAAGGTTTCGTGTGTGTTGGGTTTCCCAATTACCAGCAAGTTTGAGTGGATGTGCCCTAGTTGTCCCATACACCGTAACTTTTTGAACTCTGAACCCTGTATCGAAGCTACACCCTGGAATCCTTGAACCCACAAACCATACAGTCCCTAAACCCCAGAATCCCTATGTAAACCCTAAGCCTCTAAACCTATAGTTTCTAAACCTTAGAATCCCTAAACCCTACAGCCAGAATCCCGAAGCCCTAAACCCTGAGCCCCAAAACATAACCCTAGAGTCCCTAAACCCCAAATCCCTAAACCCTCCTAAACCCTTCGTCTCGAAACCCTAGAATCCCCTAGATCACCCCGTAGGGTCCTTAACCCAAGTTTCCCTAAGACTCCCCACCTACTCCTTAAGGCTCCCTAAGCGTCTTTAAGGCTTGCTAGGTACCTACTTGGCGGTTCATGGTACTTATATGGTTTTAATGCAGTGCCCTACTATGAACCTCCAAGTACCACCCATGAACCCCTGAACCCCAAACCCTAAACCCTAAACCCTATACCCCTTTCCCCTCCCTTAAGGACCCTACAGTCGCCCAAAACCCTAAACCCTAAACCCTAAACCCTAAACCCTAAACCCTAAACCCTAAACCCTAAACCCTAAGCCCTAAGCCCTAAGCCCTAAGCCCTAAGCCCTAACCCTAAACCCTAAACCCTAAACCCTAAACCCTAAACCCTAAACCCTAAACCCTAAACCCTAAACCCTAAACCCTAAACCCTAAACCCCAACCCTAAACCCAAAACCCTAAACCCTAAACCCTAAACCCTAAACCCTAAACCCTAACCCTAAACCCTAAACCCTAAACCCTCCCTTAAGGGCCCTACAATCGCCGAGGTCTGCCAGCGACGCCTACGTCGCCAAGGCCAAGCGCTGCCTGGCGCAGCTGGAAGCCGGCGAGGAGCCGCGAGGCGAGGGTTTAGGGTTTAGGGTTTAGGGTTTTTGGGTTTTTGGGTTTTTCGGGTTTTTCGGGTTTCGACATTTTAGGGTTTTAGGGTTCTAGGTTCTAGCCTGCCATGCAGATCAACCCTGAGCCCCACAACCCTGAACCCTAAAGGCCCTAAACCCTCAACCCTGTCGCGTCGCTTTCCTTTATCGAGCGTAGATCCTATAAATTTAACGTTTGGGCCGTTGAGGTGTTTTGCCTTTTTTTTGGGGGGGGTGCCCTGACCCCTTGACTGGGCGTCCTCCCCCAGCTGGCGACCGGATTCCTTGGAGCAGAGTACCCATAAAACAGGTTCCAGGCTGGGTGGGCCTGCCCCCCCAGACCCAAGAAAGCTCTTCTTGCTAGAGAGGGGATAATCAGGTCCCTAATTCCCTACAGTAATTTGCATGAATTAAAGAAACACAACCCATGCAAAGGAGCTCTGAAGGGAACCTAGGCTCCCAACCCCAGCTCCACAAAAGAAGCCAACCATCCTGCAGCTCCCTACCAGCCCCACCCGAAGTTCGAAACCCTTGATCCTAAATCCTAGAACCTTAAATCCTAAACCCTAATTCTATGAAGAATATTTGTGTTGGGTTTGTGTTTCGGGTGGCTGTCAGGGCGGCTCTCCGTCGGCGAGGAGAAGGGCGAGCTGCAAAGACTGCAGGTGGGGGGACATACGCTGATTAGCAAGGTGTGGTTCAAAGGGTTTAGCAAGGGTGTGGCTGTTTTTGCTTTTGCAGGTTGAGGTTTAGCTTAAGTTCATAGACCTTCTCCTAAGCTTGACCTACTGTCGAACCTCAAGCCTAAACCCCAAACCCCAAACCCTAAACCCTACACCCAGTCGATTAACCCCATACCCTAAGCCCCAAGATGGCCAACGCACGGGGCTCGACAAACCTGAGAAGCCCTATAAGCCCCATTAGCTCCGACAAGCCTCCGCTCCAAGCCCTTGAGTCCTATAGCATCATCCCCACAACCCTCCTAAACCCCTACAAACTCCCAAAAAAGCCCAAACAGCCCAAAAGCGCCCCAACAAGCCTCAACCACAAAATCGAAGGATCCATGTGCACATATAGTTTCTGCTTCGGCCCTAGAGGGGTTCCCACATAGTAGCTTCAGGTTCCAAGTATGTAGTATATACGGGTACATGGATCCTTAGCTAGGGTTCAAGAGGATTTAATTTAGGAAAATGTTTTTGCAGAGGGTAAGGGCCATCCTAGTTAGGGAAAGCTTCACAACCTAGAGGCTAAATAGTTAACCTTTAACCTTTTTGGCTTAACATAATCCTGTTTCAAGTACAATGGTTAATCTTTCCTGGGGTAGAGTATTCAGCCCCTAAGACATAAGCCCTAAGCCCTAAGCCCTAAGCCCTAAACCCTAAACCCTAAACCCTAAACCCTAAACCCTAAACCCTAAACCCTAAACCCTAAACCCTAAACCCTAAACCCTAAACCTACAGCAAGTGTAAGGGCTGCAGAGGCCCCCTCCCCTCGGTCGAAGCGGCCTTCCACGTCGCCGTCGCCAGTCGCGAAGCGCGCTCGCTTGGAGAACTCCTCCGGGACGGGCTCTTCTTGGGATGTTTAGGGTTTAGGGTTTAGGGTTTAGGGCTTAGGGCTTAGGGTTTAGGGTTTAGGGTTTAGGGTTTAGGGCTTAGGGCTTAGGGCTTAGGGCTTAGGGCTTAGGGCTTAGGGCGTAGGTTTAGGGTGCAGGATATAGGGTTTAGGGTTTGGGGGTTTAGGGCTTGGGGTTAGGGGTTTGGGGTTCAGGGTTTAGGGCTTAGGGTTTAGGTTTTAGGGTTTAGGGTTTAGGGTTCACTTGGAACTTCTGCAAACGCTTCTGTAGTAGTCCCCCCCTGCCGTTCAGCCTCGAACCCCTACGACAACCCTGGATTGAGGGGTCAGGGCGGAATCCCGAAACCCTAACCCCTATAGCCGCATAACCCCTGTGTTGCCCCTAAACCCTAAACCCTAAACCCTAAACCACTCTTTCATATATAATATAAATGTTAATGGCTTTGCGGGCAAGGTCCGAAAATTAGTGGGCAAGGTCCGAAAATTAGCGGGCAAGGTCCGAAAATTAGCGGGCAAGGTCCGAAAATCAGCGGGCAAGGTCCGAAAATCAGTGGGCAAGGTCCATTGGCTGCCCCACGACCTTGCCCACCAATTTTCGGACCTTGCCCGCTGACCCACCACCTTGCCCACTGATTTTCGGACCTTGCCCACTAATTTTCGGACCTTGCCCGCTAATTTTCGGACCTTGCCCGCTAATTTTCGGACCTGGGAAAGGCCCGAGAATTTGCGGGCAAGGTCCGAAAATTAGCGGGCAAGGTCCGAAAATTAGCGGGCAAGGTCCGAAAATTAGCGGGCAAGGTCCGAAAATTAGCGGGCAAGGTCCGAAAATTAGCGGGCAAGGTCCGAAAATTAGCGGGCAAGGTCCGAAAATTAGCGGGCAAGGTCCGAAAATTAGCGGGCAAGGTCCGAAAATTAGTGGGCAAGGTCCTCCCTGCCCCTCCAGCCCCCTTCCTCCCCCAACGGGTGTTGGTCAGTTGAAAACGTGTCTGACTTGGGTAAGGTAAAACTCTTTGGGGTAGGATGAAAACCTTATATTTTCTTAATGTTATGGGATTCTTTGGGCGGGTGGGTTTTTTTCCGTTGCCTGAACACACTACTGGCCTAGTAAATGCTCGAACTTGAGATGCTGAACCCTAAACCCTAAACCCTGGGTTTGGGGTTCAGGGCGGAACCCGAAGAAGTGCAGGAGCCGCTCAGCTTCGCCGGCGCCAGAGGGGCCGCCACCCAGCTAAACTTTTTGGGGGTTAGGGCTTAGGGTTTAGGGTCTATAGGGTTTAATGTTGTACCCTCTTTGCTGTTGTGTCCCCCCCCCCCCCCCCCGAACAGTGGATTTTGCCCTGTTTAGACGCTCTCGGGGTTTATATGGTTTTAATAGGGGAGGTTAGGGCAACGATGCCCCGCAATCTTTTTTTACAGGCGCCCTAAAGACCCAAAACACCTCAAAAACCCTAAGCCTTAAGCACTAAAAAAGTCCCCCACCCCCACCCCCCCCCAAAAAAAAAAAAAGAAAAAAAATAACAATAAATAAAAAAATAATTATAATAAACATAGAAAAAAAGGGAACAAATCTACAGGGCCCCTAAAGACCCTAAACCCCTCATGAATCCGCGGAAACCTCAAAGGGGGCCACAGTCGCTGCAGCCTGGCGGGTTGAAGGCGCCTTCTTTTCAGGTTTAGGGGGTTAAAAGGGGTTGCAGGGGTTTTTATAGGGTTTTACAGGGTTTTGCAAGGTTTTATAGGGTTTTGCAAGGTTTTATAGGGTTTTGTAGGTTTGTAGGGTTTATAGGGTTTATAGGGTTTATAGGGTTTTTTGGGTTTATAGGGTTTATAGGGTTTGGGGTGTACGGGGGTTTCAGAAATGGGGCATACACATCCTCCAAACCCCCAAACCCCCCAAAATCAGAAACCTTATTGGGGTGCGTCTTTTCCAGGGATCTGGGTTTAGGGTTTAGGGTTTAGGGTTTAGGGTGTAGGGTGTAGGGTTTAGGGTTTAGGGTTTAGGGCTGTTTTAGGTCCACAGGAAAGGTGCCCAGTGCGAAGTGATATAGTTGCCTGCCCAACCCCGAAGAATTCGAAACAACCCCAAACAAACCCCAACCCCCCTAAACCCTAAACTTTTCCGAACAACCCCCTAGACCCCAAACAGCTCCAATCCCCCCAAAACCCTAATTAAGGCTTTAAACCCTAAGTAAGGCTTAAAAACCCTAATTAAGGCTTTAAAAAGCCCAATGAACCTGCAAGTGTCGCTGGCAGGCTGCCCGACGGGTCCTGGAGGCCCGGGCCCGGCAGTGGAACGAACAGGGTTTAGGGTTTAGGGTTTAGGGTTTAGGGTTTAGGGTTTAGGGTTTAGGGCTTAGGGTTTAGGGTTTAGGGTTTAGGGTTTAGGGTTTAGGGTTTAGGGTTTAGGGTTTAGGGTTTAGCACCTATTACTCCCCATTAAGGACTGTTAGTATAAGGGTGAACATCCCAAGCCCAAGCCCTTATCACCTTTTCATCCCAAACCCCAATCCCCTTAAGCCTCGAGCTTTACGGTTCAGGGTTCTCCCTATACCCTAAACCCCTAGACCTATTAACACCCCCTAGGCCCGAACAACAAAAAACCCTAAAAACCCTAAACCCCTAAACCCTAAAGGTCCTATTAAAACCCCCCTAGGCCCTCACAAACAAAACCGGTCTTCATGTGCAGGCGTTGGGTGACGACTGCCTAGCAGCTGGGCGCCTGCTTTTCCTGGACGGGTCCGTGACGGCAAAAGACACCGCAGGCCCCGAGGGTTCATATTTTTAGGGTTTAGGGTTTAATTAGGGTTTAGGGTTTACGGTCTAGGGTCTAGGGTTTTGGGTTCAGGGGCATTCGGACATTATTTTGGGTTGGGCAGGGGTAGTTCGGGTCGGCCAACATAGGATCCCATCATCACAAGGGGTTTGGGGTGTTGCTCACGTCTGGGATGCCTAGTGTTTAGGTCGCCAGGGTTGACCGTTTGGGCCTAGGGGGTTTGCATAGCGTCTAGGGGTTTAAGGTTTAGGGAGTATCCTGAACCTTAAACCTCGAGGTGTAAGGGGTTTGGGGTTTGGGATAAACCGGCCAGTGATAAGGGCTTGGGGTTGAAAGAGTGACCTTGGGATGTTCCCCCCTCTACTAACAGTCCTTCATTTGGATGATAATAGGTGCTAAGGGTGACAACCCTAAACCCTGAACCCTAAACCCTAAACCCTAAACCCTAAACCCTAAACCCTGAACCCTGAACCCTGAACCCTAAACCCTAAACCCTGAACCCTTTTCTGAAGGCGATGCCTCCGCAGCACCGACGGCGCCGGCGACGGCCTCGACGGCGCCCACGCGGCGCCCTGGGATGAGGCGTACTCAGCTCGGGCTTTGGGGTTTGGGGTTTAGGGTTTAGGGTTTAGGGTCTAGGGTTTAGGGTTTAGGGTTTGGGGTTTAGAGTTTAGGGTAAATTTTGTAGGGCTTCCGGGAAGAGCAACCGCGACGGAGTCCTGTGGCGAAGCAGGAGTAGGAGAAGGAACAGGAGCAGGAGCAGCAGCAGGAGGAGTAGTGTTAGTGTTAGTGTTAGTGTTAGTAATATACTTGTAGAGCACATGTATGTATATTATAATAGGCAAAGGAAGCCTACTATCTACATTGGGGGTTTCGTAGGCCGACATATGTTTGTGGGTCTAAACTCTGTAAACAGTGTATAGACTGCTTCACTGGGTTTCAAAAGGGTTTGGGAAGTTTGGATTTTTGTTGGGATTTGTTGGGGGGGCGGGGGGTTCACGCTTCTTGGCCGCAGGCTTGGAGCGTCCATTTCCAGACAACTCTGCAAAAGCTATTGTAAAGCCTAGCCCCCCAAGCCCTAAATCCTAAGCCCCAAACCCTGAATGCTCAACCCCAAACCCTCAACCCCAAACCATAGATATTCAACCCGAAACCCTGAACCCTAAATCCCAAAGCCTAAACCCTAAACCCTAAACCCTGAATCCCTCAGGAGGCTCTTCGAGGTGAGGGGCCCTTTTGGGCCGCCAGAGCAGGCTTGTGGGGCGGGGGGGGGGGTTAGGGTTTAGGGTTTAGGGTTTAGGGTTTAGGGTTTAGGGTTTAGGGTTAAGTGTTTAGCATTTAGGGTTTTGGGTTCCGGTACCCAAAGCCCTAAACCCAAAACACCATGCCCGGCAGTACCTCTATGCCTGGCTTTAAGGGCGAGGAACCCTGACGAACCCTATGAAGCAAAACCAGGGCTACCCTTCCCCGAAACCCCAAACCCCAAACCCTAAACCCCAAACCCTAAACCCTAATCTCGAATCATCCCTAAACCCTAAACCCTACACCCTAAACCCTAAACCCTAAACATGGACGCCGCGAGCTTCCCTTGCCTGCACGAGCCCTTGGCCACGATGGTATGGTTCTTCGTGATATCTTGGCTGCTGTTAAAGGGTTTAGGGTGTAGGGTTTAGGGTTTAGGGCTACTGCAGGCGAGTGAACTCAATGGCATCCGGAACTTACTTGCGAGTCTGCGATGCTGGAAGGCAAATGTTGCCAGTTGTACAGAAGGTGTTGAATGCATACAGGTATGTTTCTGAAAACTTTAAGCCCTCAGACGATTCCCTAAACTCTAAACCTAGAACCCTTGGTTCTTCAATGTTCCTCACCAGGTTGCGGGGTATGTGCAGGGTTTATGTTGTCTGTCCTTTTGGGGATACCAGTAATAGTACACCCGACCTCATGCGGGTTATGCATGCACACGTGCATGCATCGTTTCCGAAGCAAGCATCATTAAACCTGTATAACTAGCAGACGCTAAACCCCAAACCCTAAACCGCAGTAAACGGTTCAGGGTTTAGGGTTTAGGGGAAAGAAAGCCCCCTTGTCTTTCAAGGTGGATGTTCTACATTTGGGGTGTTCCTTCTTTGGGCTCATCCTGTCAGATCGGAGTTCCCTCGAAACACAGAACCTCCCTAATGGGGCCCAATTTAGCAACCCGAAACCCTAAACCCTACAACCTCCCTATACCGCAACCACTCTCGTGCAAGGTCACTCTGCAGCTCTCTGCCGCTTGGCACACCCCAAAGGAGGTAAGGCAACCCTTCTGCTAAGTCCTAGGACCCAGAGCAGGACCATAAACCCTAAACCCTAAACCCTAAACCCTAAACCCTAAACCCTAAACCCTAAACCCTAAACCCTAAACCCTTTTGTAGGGCTTGGGTTCCCTTATAAAAATTCTTCAAACCAAAAAAACGGCACCCTTTTCATTCCTAGGTTACTCTTGCGTCTAGAGTCCGCATAGGGTTTTCCGATTTGTTTAGGGATCCCGTTTAGCCGTCCTTTGAATGCAGGTTGCGTTGGGTGGCTCAAAGGGACGAACTTGGGAATTTTGCAAGCCCCCCCATTATTTCGGTCTACAACTGAAGCGCTTTGAGGCGGCAAAGTCTCCTTGCGGACATCAAGTTCTGAGGGGTTTAGGGTTTAGGGTTTAGGGTTTAGGGTTTAGGGTTTAGGGTTTAGGGTTTAGGGTTTAGGGTCCTGCTGTAACTTGTGGAACGCAGCAGCCAAGAGCTGAATCCTTCCGAAGGCCAACCTAAGCCACGCAAGCTTGTCCTTCCTTCGCATCGACCCGTGACGGAACACTAGACTGAACCGTAAACCTGATTTTCTAACCCTAAACCCGACATTCCCTGAACCCTAAACCCTAAACCCTGAACCCTGAACCCTAAACCCTAAACCGTAAACCCTAAACCCTAAACCCTAAACCCTAAACCCTAAACCCTAGCAGAGGGAACACCCAGGACGACTTCAGCGCGGAGTGCAGCTGCAGGCTGCAGGGCCACTGCTCTTCGGCCCAAGGGGGTTTAGGGTTTAGGGTTTAGGGGTTAGGGTTTAGGGTTTAGGGTTTAGAGTTGAGGGTTTAGGGTGTAGAGCCTTCAGTATCCTAAGTATCTAGCTGGTCTAGGTTAGCTACTCATGTATCAGGACGTGGGATTTAGGGTTTACGGAAATCAGGCTTGATACCTTTCCGGGAAGAGTTTGTTTTTTTTTAGGGGGGGGGGGGTAATGTGAAGTAGGCTTGCATGCCTCTCTTTCCTTCGGGTTCAGGGTTTAGGGTTTAGGGTTTGGGGTTTAGGGTTTAGGGTTTAGGGTTTAGGGTTTAGGGTTTAGGGTTTAGGGACTTCGGAACCCAAGTCATGGCACTTCGGGCCCCTGAAGACACCTGCCTATATTCCGGGTACATCTTCCGTTTAGGGGTTTAGGGGTTTAGGGGTTTAGGGGTTTAGGGGTTTAGGGGTTTAGGGGTTTAGGGGTTTAGGGGTTTAGGGGTTTAGGGGTTTAGGGTTTAGGGTTTAGGGTTTAGGGTTTAGGGTTTAGGGTTAGGGTTTAGGGTTTAGGGTTTAGGGTTTAGGGAGGTGTTCGCACAACACGGTTCGTGCCAGATCCCAGCTGAACCCTGCTATTGCAGCGCTTTTTACATGGGGATTTAGGGTCGGTTTAGGGTAGCCTGTGTTCCTGCTCAATGGCTTCTACGTGGGGTTTAGGGCTGGTACCCTACACCCTACACCCTACACCCTACACCCTAAACCCTAAACCCTAACTGCCAAGCTGACGACCCTACCGAGGCAAACACGTGGCAGCGGCGCTGTGCGCTTTGGAGAAGGCACAAACCCTACCCATAGGGTTTAGGGTTTAGGGTTCAGGGTTTAGGGTTTAGGCTTTGGGGTTTAGGGTCGAGGGTGAAACGAGTATACGGCTGTGTTATGGTCGGAGTGCCGCGCTAGAAAAGGACCCTAAACAGTTGGGGTTGTTTGGTTCTACCATGCAATCGTAATCGAGGTAGACTAGCTGCGTAGTTCTTCAACCTAGGTCTGCACTCGTTCGGTCGAGACACGATGGGTTTCGGGTAGGAACGGGGGTGTCAGACTACAGCCCAAAAGTTGAACCCCCAAAAAACATCTCTCTGCCTTCCTCTTAACCCCCACCTTAACCCTAAGCCCTGAGCCCTAAACCGCAAACCAAAACCCCGAACCCTAACCCTGAACCCCTAAACCCCTAACCCTACATGCTCAGAAGCGGAGCTCTAGTCCTCTCACTGGCTCCGAATCCTTGTCATCCAGGCTTCTTTCGGCTGTCACTGTCCGGGCTTGAATGAAAGGTTTTGTTGCGATGTTGCCCCTTATACTAACAGTCCTTAATGTGGATTATAGGACCCCCCCATTAGAATTCCTCTTAAGGACTCTGAGTATAAGGGGGAACATCCCAAGGTTTGGGTATGAAACCCCTAGGGTTTAGGGTTTAGGGTTCAGGTTCAGGGTTCAGGGTTTAGGGTGTAAAGGTTTCTCAGCATGTGGTAACTCTGTAGGGTGGGACTATGGGCAGCTGGGGTGAGCAGTTCAGCGGTGGAAGTCCAGAGTGTGTCAACTAAGGCTCAGGGTTTAGGGTTTAGGGTTTAGGGTTGAGGGCAGCCCACAAGCAGCTCCAAACCCTGAAGCCTCAACCAAAACTCAACATTGCACACCCTAAAGCCCTAACCCTACACCCTAAACCCTAAACCCTAAACCCTAAACCCTAAACCCTAAACCCTACGGGCAGCCCAAGCGACCCCAACACAGGAGGAGAAGGATGCGGCCTTAATTGCACCGCCCACTGCGCCACCTGAGTCGCTGGCACCTGGGCATGTTTGGCTAGGGTTTAGGGTTTAGGGTTTAGGGTTTAGGGTTTAGGAAGGTTTAGGGTTTAGGGTTTAGGGTTTAGGGTTTAGGGTTTAGGGTTTAGGGTTTAGGGTTTAGGGTTTAGGGTTTAGGGTTTAGGGCTTAGGGCTTAGGGCTTAGGGCTTAGGGTTTAGGGTTTAGGGTTTAGGGTTCAGGGTTCAGGGTTTAGGGTTTAGGGTTTAGGGTCAGTCTGCTGCATTAAGGCTTTAGGAACATTGGGGCAAGCCAAGATTGGGTGTTGGGGACGGTTGAGGGTTGTACGTAGAACTTAGACTGCTTCATGGGTTAGGGTTGCGACCTTTTTGGAGATGTTTGAGGTTGAGGCTTCAAGGGCTCGATGGGGTGTAGGGTCTAGGGGTTTAGGGCTTAGGGCTACAGGGTTTAGGGGTTTAGGGTTTAGGGCTATCGGGTTTTCGGGTATCGGACATGAGGACTGTGGTTGAGGGTTTGGGGTTTGGGGTTTTGCTTTTGGGGGTTGAGGCAAGTGTCTGGAAATGCCGATCCAGGGTCTTCGGGCGCGTAGGATTCTGGCAAGTGAGTGATTGACCTTTCACAGATCGATGGAGGTGAACGCATACAGTGTGAGCACACGAAATCATGTGATGGGCTTTAGGGTTTAGGGTTTAGGCTTTAGGGTTTAGGGTTTTGGGTTTGTAGCCCCAGCGGGTGAACTTGACCGCCAAGAAAGGTCCTAAGAATTCTGCTCTTTTCACTCACACAGCCTGTTAAGCTGGATTCATGACCGCACAAAAGGCTTGTGTAATCTCTTCATGAACAGGTTTTGCTGGGGCTCTTCATTCTATATATTCCTGGATCTTGGATGATTCGTTCAAACTTTTCCGATTCATTCGACGCATCCAGTTTATCGGGGCTTTTAGGCTTTTTGGATTTCAAGGGTTTAGAGCTTATGGGTCTGAGAGTGCGAGGGCGAAGAAGTGGTTAGATGGCTTAGTGTTTGTAGGGTGTACACGGTCTGGACGGTTCCAGGGTTCGAAGGGTTCTGTAGATTTTTCAAGGGCTACAGGGGTTGCAGGCTTCAAGAGTTCAGGGGTGTAGTTTCCGACCAGGTGTAGGTATCATGGCTGAATGCAGACTACCTTTCAACGCTTAAACCTACTAGCGCCTAAACCCTTCAAACCCCCAAACCCCCTAAACCCCCGAATTAAACTTCCCAAAACACCCTTAAAACCCAAAAAACCCAAAAGGCCCCAAACCCCCCACCCCCCCACCCCCCAACAAGCCCTAACACCCCTAAGCCCGCTCTAATACCCACTAAAGCCGTGCGCGGCGTCTCTCAGCGAAGGTCACGCGCCCAGCGGATTCCGCAGCACGGCGCCAGCTCGAGGCACCAGACTTCCAATACCCCAAGCCCTCATTGTGGGGGGGGAGGGGGGGGGCTAAACCCCAAACCCTAAAACCCTACAACCCCAAACCCTAAACTCTAAAACCCGAACCCCAATCTTGTGGGGTTGGGGTCTGAAGGTCTCCTGGTGTAGTCACCTATACACTAGGCCCTTGAGGGTTTAGATGTTCCGAGTTCGATGGCCAAGACGTGGTAGCCCAGTGGTACACTTTTGTCTTATTTTTTGGTTCTAGCTTCCCGTATAACATGAACCAACCCCAAACAATGTACCCCTATTGTAGTAGGGTTACTGGGGTACCAAGAAGAAAGGAGCAGGACAAAGGAGACTTGTTGTTACTTTGAGATTGGGAAGATTCCGAAACCCTAAACCCTAAACCCTACAAAGTCTGGACATGGACACTTCGATCTAGGGGGTATACAAGGAATATATACCTTATCTATATATAGCCCCTATATACTTAAGAAGCTCTTCAATATCCCCTAAGCAACCCCTAGTGCGCTGCATAAGGTCCCTTTAGTCCCTTGAGGTTTTGGGTTTAGGTTTCGCGTGTGTGTAGATAAACCGCTAGGGGTCCACCCAAAAAGCGTGACCCTATAATCGAAGAGATGCTGTCTTGGTCGGGGAGCTAATGCTCGAAAATCGATAGGCGCCCACAAAGAAAGTTGCGCAACGTTCGGCGAACACACGGTTTTGTCAATCGCTCATATATGTATACAGACACAGTCTTTGTGGTACTTTACTGTAACTTCAGATCCTTAGCCTTTTTGGGTTTATTGGGTTTCTTAATAAGGCAGCTAAAAAACTTATAGCTACCCTTCTGAGTGCAGCCAAGACAGTACTGGGCTTAAGGTGCACAGCTGAAGCTTCCTGTGCTGACTCAAACCCTAAACCCGGACCTAAACCCTAAACCCTAAACCTAAACCCTAAACCCTAAACCCTAAACCCTAAACCCCAACACAGCTACCGCCGCAAGGCAGTCCTGCGCCAGCTCGATCGGAAGACGCGACTTCGCTTTGCCATCGTGGGGATGGGCCCTGAAATCATGCAGGTATAGGGTTTAGGGTTTAGGGTTTAGGGTTTAGGGTGCAAATCTTCCGCAAGTCAGCAGCCCAGGAACGATGAGCTGAAGAGCTACTTGAGGCCATCGCTGTCGGGTCAAGTGGCTTTGGGTACGGCTGTCTGGGTTTGAGGTTCGGGAGGGCCGGTGTAGTTAGGGTTCAGGGTTTATAGTTTAGAGGCAGGCTTTCTTTCGGTATGTGTCCTCCGCGCCATACACCCAGTCCGACATCCACTCTTCTTGTGTAGGCACACGGATGCAACCAGACATTACACCCCCCCCCCCCCCCCCCCCCCCGCCGGTTGTGAGGGCAGCATTGCCCCTCTTGCACTTCTGTGCGTCAAGGTTCGTTGGATGGTCTGGAATTCCACACCCAGATGATGACCCTTGATATCGGAAAGTCTCTGTCTTGGCAAGTCGTCAAGGGCCAAGAACGGTGGGTTTTAGGGTTTATGGTTTAGGATTTAGGTTTTCGGGTGTAGGGTTTAGGGTATAGGGCCCGGGTGGGCCATCGAATGCCGTTCCGAACTGTTCCGATGCCCATGAGGTGTGTTTCCAAGCACCGGGCGTCAGTGTTCTTGACCCTCAATACCTCGCGTTTGTCAAGAAAGGACAAACATGCACCACCTCAGGCGTGTAACCCCAGAGGGTCCATTTGCAGTCCTACTATGGAAAAAAGAAACCCAAAACCTGGGGTTTTTTGGGTACCTAATTCCATAACTTACAGGGTACTGGAAAGGGGGCATGACGAGGTCTGCGATTTGATGCCCGAGCGATTGCCATGCTGTCTGCCAGGCTGAACAATCAGCTGCTGAGCGGAGCTCCTTGGCAGATACACCGAAGGGGACCTTGAAAATCCCTGAAAACCCTGAGTTCCTGAAAGCACTGAAAACACTGACAACCCTGAAAACCCCTAAACCCTAAACCTGAACCCCAGCAGGTCCCTAAAGCCCTTTCAGGCTTCGGTCTGCCCTCGGGCCTTTTAGGGTTTAGGGGTTGAGGGATTAGGGTTTAGGGTTTAGGGCTAACCCTGCCCGAACCTCCAAGGCCATGGCCCTAAGTACATAAAGCCTTCTTGAATGAATGTACCCTTTTGTAGGGGAACCCCTGAACTACGGCCATGAAAGTAAAGAGGCTGCATCTGCGAGACCCATATGTCCACAGAATGCTACATGCTTGAACGTGTATATAGTTTATGCACAAGAGAAATAAATAGATGAAGAATGCGTATATATATATATATATGTGCACATGTAGTGCGTATGTATATATATATATATATATATGCTACCCCCCCTCCAAAACCTACCGTTTTCTAATTTTCTACACTTGCGTGACATCAAAACGCTTTAAAGATGAGACCGACTCCCTAAATCCTTTGACCTTATTCACACAATTTTCTGTTGCATAAACCCTCTTCCCAAAATCCTGCTCGCTAAATCCGAAAGCACGGGATTCCTACATCGTATTCCCTAAATCATATTCCCCCAGTCCCTAAATCTGGGGCGGGCGGGGGGGGGGTGGGTCACTAAATGGCTCACTAAATCTTCTCGCTAAATCCTAAAGGGTGGGATCCCTAAATCATATTCCCATGATTTTACTCCCTAAGTCTTTTCCCAAAGCCCTAAAGAGGGAAGTCTTGAAATTCTGAAGAGGAGAGCCTCTGAATTCTAAAAGAGAATTACTACCTCCAGTACGGGGGTTTCCGTATGGGGAAATACCGCCACAGTGAATGAATATTTTCCGGGGGTGTTCAAAAGTCTGTCTGCAGGCTTCGTTTTTGATTGCTGAGCTGCAGTCTGGATCGGCGAAACTACAATACATTCCTATTGTGCTTAATAGAGAATGCATACATTGCCATGGTCTCATTATTGCAGTGCCCTGCCTTTCTTATTGCGGTGGGGGGTCCCACCAATTAAACAGATGCTCGGATAAAATCTTATCGGGATCCCTAGATCTGGTTCCCTGAAATTAACTCCCTAAGGCCTAAAGGTGGGGGGCGGGGGAGGGGGGCTAAACCCTACAGAGGAGATCCCCTAAATCCTAAAGAGCATTCCTTAGTTTTACTTTCTAAATCCTATTGCTTAAGCCCTAAAGAGGGGTGTCCTAAAGAGGGGGATCCTTACTATAAATCTTAAAGATGAGCCTCTCCGTCTACATCATAAAACAAAGAACCTTACTCAGTAGATCTTATCGCTAAAGTCAACAAAGAAGGATCCCTCAATCTTATCCCTTAATTTCACTCCCTAAATCATATTGGGGAAGAGGGGTGGGAGGGAGTCACCAGATCCTAAAGAGGGAATCTTAAGTAGCCTTAAATCCCCAAAAATGAGACCCCCCCTAACTCATACAAAAGCCAACCTTACTCAATAAATCTTCTCGCTAACGCTAAAGCTTTAGCGATAAGATTTGCGCCCCCTTAGAAAATAGGATTTGGGGACTAAGCTTTGGGATGCTCCCCACTTCAACGCCTATTCTCTAAATCCTTCTCGCTAAGTCCTAAAGAGCGGGCTCCCCTATAATGATGAAATATGTCCGATTCAAATTTGAATCGGCCGATTCAGTTTTGAATCGACCCTCAAATTAAAGATTGAAGTCGTCGTAGTGTTGCAGTACTCACATGCATATTCATACTGTGTATTGGCTTTATATGTATGTATGAGTTGGTACGTAATCTGTGTACTCACTCAATCTCCAACGCAACAAATTTGCTTATAAGGACTTAATTTGCTTCTAAATAGAAGGGGAGAAGGCGCCAGGGTCGGTCTTCCAAAACAAGTAGGACCAAAAAACACTCCCCACCACACCCCCCCACTCCCCTCCACTTCACTCCACTGCGTGTTCTGGGTTTGTTTAAGGGTATTGTCAGGGCTTATTCTCCAAAACCCTATCGATCCAGGGTTTAGGATTCTAACGAGAAGCCCCAAAACCCCAAGCCTATAGGGTTAAGCAATTTAACCTCAACCCTTAATCTTTAAACACCCTATAGGGTTACGGTTTAAAGGTTTAGGATTTGAATTTCAGACATGTAAACCATGACCTACAATTCAACGGAAACACGAAACCTTTAACCCTTGCAGGGTTAAGGTTTAAAGGTATAGGGTTTAAGACATAGGCACTCTAAACCCCTATCGATCCAGGATTTAGAGTTTTAAAGAAAAGCCCCGAAACCCTATAGGATTAAACACATAAGCCCAATTCTTTAACCTTTAAACCCTGTAGGATTAAGATTTAAAGGTTTAGGGCTTAAGATATAGGCATTTAAATCTTGACCTGCAAATACACCGAAACCCTTAAACTTTAAGCGTTAGTTCAAGGTCTAGAATTAAGATATATGTATTTAAACCTTGACGTGTAATTAAACGAAACCTGCAACCTGGAAACTTTATAGGGTTAAGGTTTAAAGGTTTAGGGTTTAAGATATATGATTTTGAACCTAAGCCTGCAATTAAGTTGAAACACATAACCTTTAAACCCTATAGGGTTAAGATTTATAGGTCCCGGGCTTAGCGTTTTATAGAGAAGCCCCAAAACCCATATAGGATTACAATTAACCTAAACGCGCACGCAACCTTCATGTTGACGGCCGACATGAGGAGTATGCTATGGCTGGAAACTGCGCGTTTATAGCCCAAGCTGCGCGTTGAAATTGTGCACATATAATGGAACCACTTTCAGTGCTTCAATATATAATACCATGGCCTAGAGTTTTGTAAGATATTTCTTAACCATAAGAAAAATCTTCAGGACCGGGCGTTTTAAAACTCCTTGCTTAGCCACAAGAGGAGTTTTAAAACTCCTGCCACCGAAGATTGAAGATTGAAGATGTCTCAGGACTCTTTGTGGGAATCTTCAATCTCAAGTAGTCGGGGCCGGGAGTTTTAAAACTCCTTGCTTAGCCACAAGAGGAGTTTTAAAACTCATGCCACCGAAGATTGAAGATTGAAGATTCCTGGAAAGAGTTCTGGAGAATCTTCAATCTTCAATCTTCGGGGCCACGAGTTTTAAAACTCCTTGCTTAGCCACAAGAGGAGTTTTAAAACTCCCTGCCCCTAAGATTGAAGATTGAAGATTCCTGGAAAGAGTTCTGGGGAATCTTCAATCTTCAATCTTCGGGGCCACGAGTTTTAAAACTCCTTGCTTAGCCACAAGAAGAGTTTTAAAACTCCTGGCCCTGGAGATTTTTTATTGGAGTCGCTAAGTATTTAATATTTCGTATCGGATGTATATATATATATATATACATCCGGCTTCGAATATCATAAACATGACGTCTCGACATAGAAAAGGGTATGAAAAGGTAGGTTTTGAGGGGGGGGGTACCATATATATATATATATATATGTGCACATGTATTCTTGTCTTCGGCTATATATATATATATGTATATATGATATGCGTGTGTCTGTATTCTCGTGCCACTCATCTTGACCTGTCTTGAGCTACTTGCATACTGACCATCAACCCTAAACCCTAAACCCTAAACCCTAAACCCTAAACCCTAAACCCTAAACCCTAAACCCTAAACCCTAAACCCTAAACCCTAAACCCCTGTTATGCTCCCCAAAGGCAAAGCCGGAACTTCGGCTGCGCGTCGCCGACGGCGCGGTCTTCGGCGCGTTGTCCCCCTGCCTCCGGGCAGCAGCCGTTTTTGTGCTTTAGGGTTTAGGGTTTAGGGTTCAGGGTTTAGGGTTCAGGGTTTTGGGTTTAGGGTTCAGGGTTTTGGGTTTGGGGTTTAGGGTTTAGGGTTTAGGGTTGAGATGTTCCCCCTGAATTATACTGACAGTCCTTCATTGGGATTATAGTAGGGGTGCTTTAATCCTAGTAAGGACTGTCGTCTAAGGGGGAGCATCCCAAGTTGAGGGTGTAGGGTTGTGGGGTTATAGAGATGACTTGCGGGCTTTGCAAGATGCTGAAAAGGGGTTTTAGGGCCCTTTGTTCGGCTTTTTTTTGGAGGGGGGGGGGGGGGGGGGGGGGGGGAGGTTTAGGGTTTAGGGTTTAGGGTTTAGGGCTTAGGGTTTAGGGCTTAGGGTTTAGGGTTTAGGGTTTAGGGTTTAGGGCTTAGGGTTTAGGGTTTAGGGTTTAGGCTTATAAATGTTTTTAGGATAGTTTGTGGCTCTTAAACTGATGGGGCATTTAGGGTTCAGGGTGCGGCTTCAGGGCTTTTTTCGATCCTTTGGAGTTTACGGGGCTTAGGGCTTAGGGCTTAGGGCTCAGGGCTCAGGGTTTAGGGTTTAGGGTTTAGGGTGTAGGGTTTAGGGTTTAGGGTTTAGGGTGTTTCGCGTATGGTGTTTCTTCTCGGGCTTTCTTGGCGTCGGGACTCACATTGAATTAACATACGAATGGATTCCTAAATAAGGATTCCCTTATAAGAAGGATAAGGTACCCCTAATTTCGGAAACCCCAAAAGAGTATCTCTGACAGCGGATTTTTCTATGGCGTGTATAACTTGAGTTACTAAGTGCCTTGATCCTAGCTTGAGTTACTAAGTGCCTTGATCCTCCAAGTATGGCTTCATGCTGCGTTGCGATCCCACAAGATTCGACAACCCCGGGTCGGTTGACCACCGGGGCAGACATGCTTGCGCCCATGAAATCAGTTGTGAAGACTCCAAGGAAACCCTCTACCTTTTAGGCCTTTTCTAGGTGTTAAGAGGATTTTTCCGGGTATGCTTAATGCTTTAGGCTTAGGGGGGTCAGAGGCATTTTTGGGCTTTGGATTTGAGGTTTGAGGGGTTTTGATGCAACATTTTTTTGGGCCGTGAAAGAGACCAGAAATCGCTTAAACACTGGAGCCCTCAAATCTTGCAAGCCTACTGCTCAGAACCACAGCGCAGGAAGCCCGAAATTCTAAAGCGCTTCACCCAGCCAGCCTTTGGTAATCAGGAACTTCAATACCCCTCAATTAAGGCACATTCCTTAAAACATGAAAGGGTTCCCTAAACCAACCCTAAACTCTAAACCCTAAACCCTAAACCCTAAACCCTAAACCCTAAACCCTAAAGCCTTAGATGGTTTAAGGAATATTCCTTCAATCAGGGGTACTGGAGTCTCTGGGTACGCCAAGGCCCGAAGTGTGGCGGACACCTGCACCCGGAAGATCCGGGGCAGGCGCCCCACACCATGTGCCCCCCCGGGCAGGGTGTAGGGTTTAGGGTTTAGGGTTTGGGGTTTGGGGTTTAGGGTTTAGGGTTTTAAGTGTAGGACTTCGCTTCAGGGCCGCAGGGCTTTCTAAGGGCTTAGAGGGTTTAACGGCTTTTTGTCCCGATGTTCCGCGGTTTTGGCTTTTAGGGGTTTCAGGGCTTTTGAGTAGGGGGTTTAGGGACGCGAGTGAGCTGCACTGCAGGGTAAGCACATGTTACAGGATCCCCACAACCTAAACCCAAGCCAAAATACCCCAAAAACACTCATTCCCCATTCGAATTGCCCTCAACCCTGAGATCTAAACCCTAAACCCTAAACTCAAACCCTAAACCCTAAACCCTACTAAAATGGGCCTCTGTGTCACCCTCTGAGCCTCGGCAGGTACTTTTGCAAGCGCACGCTCCGTGACCGTGAAGCCTGCGGGTTCCAGGCCCGGAAGGTAAACCCCTAAACCCTAAACCCTAAACCCTAAACCCTAAACCCTAAACCCTAAACCCTAAACCCTAAACCCTAAACCTCAAACCCTAACCCTATGTATACCCTGAACCCTGAACCCCAAACCCCTTCATGGTTTTGGGGGTTTGGGGGCTAGAGTAGGTCTAGGTTGGGACCTCTACGGTTTTGTTGAGGGGCGAGCTTTCGGGGTGTATGGCAGGTGTGGGTTTGGGGTTTAGGCTATAGGGGTAAAGCTTAGGGTTTATAGGGTTTATAGGGTTTTATAAGGTTTATGGGGTTTACAGGGTTGATAGGGTTTGATAGGTTTTGCAGGGTTTGATAGGTTTTACAGGGTTTGTGTTTACAGGGTGTTTTAGGGTTTATGGGGTTTCTAGGGTTTATAGGGTTTGTCGGGTTTGTAGGGTTTGTAGGGTTGATGGGGTTTATGGGTTTAAGGGTTTTATAGGGTTTATAGGGTTTGCAGGGTTTACGGGGCTCGCGGTGTTTATTTGGTTTATAGCTTTTATGGGGTTTATGGGGTTTCAAGTTTATTGGGTGTGTAGGGTTTACAGGGTTTTGGGTTGAGGGTACAGGGCCAGACTGGCTGGGTTGACGGACACAGCACACAACTCAACTCCCCAAATCCCTTTAAACTAAAACCCTGAACCCTTACATCCTAATCCCCAACCCAACATAAACCAGAAAATCCTAAACCCTAAACCCTAAACCCTAAACCCGTAACCCTAACATCCTAGTCCCAACCCTGAACTGAACCCCCCCCCCCCCCCCCGCAATGCAAGGTGTACGGCAGTGACGCGGAGCGCCGGCCTTTCTTAGGTGCGGAGGACGGATGACCAAGAAGTTGTTTGGTTCTGGGGGAGGAAGATACTTGGAGGTCCATGGTAATTACTAGCCAATTATAACCGTACTAGTAACTCATCACCCACTTATAAGCCCCTTAAGTGCCCTAGAAGGGTTTTATAAGTACTTGTAATGAATTGGTTTATAAGAACCTCCAAGCAGGACCTTGTGATGGTCCCCCTTATGCTAACAGTCCTGAATTGGAATTATAGTGCCCCCTGTTACTACTAATTGCTTAAGGACACCGAAAAATTGAAAATAAGGGGAATATAGGGATGATGATATCTTTTATAATTCCTGTTAGGGGTTCTTAAGCAAATCGTAGATTATGATCCCTAGTAAGGGCTGTTAGTATTAGGGGGAACATCCCAAATAGTGGCCTCCTATGTCAAAGGGCTGACTGGGGTTTTACGGTAGGGTTTGCTGTGTAGGGTTGAGGGTAGTGGGTCCAGAGTCTTTAGGCCGGGACCATGTCAGGGTTTAGGGTTTTTGGGTTATTCGGGTTTTTGGGGCATTAGGGTTTTTGGGTCACTAGGGTTTTGGGGTTTAAGGGTGTTTGGGTTGAGGGGTGGCGCGAGGATGTGTGCTGCAATTCATGCAAATCCAAGCCGACAACTTCAGGAGGTGACTGCTGGAGGGTCAAGTCCCAAAACCTAAAGCCTAATACCCTGAACCCTGAACCTGAACCCTGAACCCTAAACCCTAAACCCTAAACCCTAAACCCTAACCAACCCCAAGCCCGGCTTCTGTAGTTTGAAGCAACCCCCTGCCGACCGGAGCGCAGACCAGGAGCTCCTCAAGCACGCCTTCTGA